ACACGCCCACTACAATTCCGAACGGAGGAAACCAGCGAAACGTTTTGTAAGATTTGTATCGCAACGGGGGAAAAATTGTTAAATGTTGTATTTCCTCCGAGGGTAGGAAATTGTGAAATTTTAAGATTCCATAGTCGGTTACTGCTTTGTCCGCTTTTGGTAGATTCACAGTGAAGTCGTCAAAGACGGGGAATGATGAAAAGAGTTAATCTTGTTTCAGAAATTAAATGAGAGATTCTCCCGGCTGCCGCAGCCTCCGCAGGATGACAAACGGATAACAAATACAAATTCACGTCTCGGCATTATTATTAACCGAAGGCGCGAGTCGTTAATAGGAAGACATCCTTTGATAAATTTTAAATGAATTTTCTCAGAACATGTCTCAGACGAATGATTTTGAAATTATTTAACGGGAACAATCAGGGAGTTTGTAAAACTGGCGAATTCGACGAGAAGTAATACGTGACGAGAAATAATCCCGTAAAAAAAATAGATATACGAGTAGTTTAAAAGGAATTTTCTTTTATTACAGGATAAAGCGTGGAGAATTGCAACTTCAACAAAAGTAAAATGTTTTGCGCCGTTAATAAATCACATTTTACAGTCGCATATCGAGAATAGTTAGCGGGCGGAAGTATGACTCGTGTATTTCCATTGTGAAAAAGACTTCCATTAGATATAACATAGCGTTCTATCTATCAATGGAGCAATATGAAATATTATACAACTACGGGCGGCAGGATGATAAAAGCGGTAAAGAAAAGGGGCGACTCGATGTCGTGAGATAGCTTTTTCTCCCGATCGTCAAAATCGACAGGTCGCCGGGAGATATTCGTCTCTCGGCGATTTGACAAGTAAATTTGCCGCGCGAGAGAATTCCTGCAAACACGGTTGGATTTTTTTCCAGCGCGGATTTTCAATTTAGATGTTCGTGCCGTGAAAATAAGTGAAACGCGCGTGAAAGGAAGGACAAAGTGTATAGATCGGCACTGTGAACAGTGCCAAAATAAATCACAATTTTAGCCAGTCCCACGTTGATGCGCGCCCGATCCTGCATGTGTGATTGGCAAGTGACTAAAAAAACAAGAGAAAGAAAAAATTCACTTCACTTTTGTGCCTGTGTGTGTGTATGTGTGTGTGTGTGTGTGTGTGCGTGTGTATGTACATACATATATATACCCGTCAAAACTACAAATGTTCCGACTAATTTGGAACAAGTATTTTTGTTTTAACGCGGAAGCTTTTAACGAATTTCTTGGAATTAAATTTCAGTGATGCAAGTGCATAACCAAAGCTTAACTCTTCGGTTAATTCCACGCGTTTCGTTTGCGCAAAATTTTAATTCTAGCCTCGCCGACGGGGATTCCAGAAATTGAAATAAAAAACGCGACGCGTGTGTCGTTTCTAAACATTCCCGCGGAAGATTTCACGCGAATCCGCCGAGGCGTCCGCATCTGTAAAGTCATCACCCGTTTCTTGGGAAGAAACGATTCTCGTCAGACGATATGAAAATCATTCGATATACAGTCGCGTTGCCTCGAGTCGAGAACGAAGGAAACCAACCTGCTGTGTGAAATCAAAAGCTCGCTCGAGAAATGCCTCGCTTCGTAAACATTCGCTTTTGTCCCAAGCCCGACGGAGCCCGTCTCAAAGGCGCGAAAATCCTTTTTATCCTTCGGACGACTAGTATGATATCGACGTGCGTCTCGCCCGAAGCGAGATTCGCGCGGCGCAAAATTGAAAAAGACGTCGGGCGCGGGCGATCTCGTTAACATAAAAAGCACGCGTTACTCACCGACAGCACGCGACGCATTAACGAAGATGACTCTCTTATCTGCAAGTACACAGAAAAAAAATAGTCTTAAATCAGTGACAGATATTTTCATACATAAACAAAGATATCATAATATTCTTCGAAGATTCTTAGTCTTGAATTGAGCGTAAACGATATTCGCATCAAAATAAATTCAATCGAATTAAAACTAAACATCTTCTAAGAAGATTATAATATTCTTGCTTATATATAGGAATATTTATCATTGATTTGAGACGAATTTTTGTTTGCATGCACCATGAATAGTAAAACCGGTTGTAGCGGCCCATTTTCAAAGCGGCGAGATTTTCTTGATACGCCCGGACTCTTTACAATGACCGTCGTGCGAATTCATCCGCGCGCGAAACGCCAACTCTCGATTTAATAGTGATTTATGAAAACGACACCGCGCGTCGTTTCATTTGCAAAATGCGGGGTGACAACCGGATCCGCACGCATTTTGGGAAGCCTTATTGATTGACGCGTTTGTTACCAGCGTCATACGTGTGTGACGTAACCATCCCTCACGAGAGGCCAGCGTTAACATATATTTCGGCGCGACGCGGAAAATTTTCAATCGGCGAGAAATGGCCAATAAGAGCGACGAAGGTGGACGAAGGTTACGATTAATCATTTATCGCGGGGAAATAATCATCTCGACGAAGAATCGCACGCGACTTTTACTCAGACTTCATTGATGGAAAATTATAATTAGTTGCAGCATAAGATATATTTTGTAGTAGTAATGTAATAGCATGTGAAATTATTGTCACTGACACTGTAGTAATATTTACTAGAGAAATGGTTCTTCTAACTATTTTCGTAGTTAAAGGATATGTTTGATGCCAAAACTAGCTATAATTTTCTATCAGCGTTAACGTGCTGGGCGTTATCCGTTGCCTCTTTTCATGATCAAACTACCTTTTATCATTTCAAAGTAAAAAAATCGAACGTGATACTTGCACAGTAGAGAAATTTTGAATGTGAAGAGAGTCTGCTGAAATTTGTGTGTTATTTTAATTACTTTTTAACGTATTCATCTTGTTAAAGTAATACGCAAATTTCTGTGAATCGTTTGTAACACCAAATTTTTTGCCACGATTAGGACACAAGGTCGGTTCGACGATGGAAGGAGGCGACAAATAATATCCCGTGTACAGTAAGACTGGGAAAATGTCTCGGCATGTACGACACTTCGTCGACATTATTATCTACCCGTAGGAAATAATTGATCGCAACCGTCATCCTGCGTGGCTCTTATTGGCCATTTCTTACTGATTGAATTTTCAAGAGCCTTAACATAAATTCTCATTCGAAAAATTATTTTTCCCTTGTCTATACAGGGTGTCTCAGAATCAACCTGTGTCCTCATCATGACAGAGGACATTCTAAGACAAAAGTTTAAATAATGTCGAGGGGGGTCCTTATTCATGCGATTTTTCAGTTTTCTGCGTAACGTATTAATATTGTTATCTTTATTAAGTAACACGAATTATTAAAATTATTTAATAATACAAGTTACGTGAATTATATCACATTGATCGGCGAGAAATATACTCAAACAACGGGACGATAGCTCATTAGTGATTTTATGCCCAGCCTAACATAAACGAATAAAAAAAACATTATTGCAAAACAGTAATATGTTTAATAACAGCAGAACGAAAAGATAAAAGTATATTCGCAGAGCGTGCCCATAAGCGAGTTAAAGGTCCATATTCCGAACTCACTTTTATCGATAAAAGTGTCTCTGAAAGTGGTTTAGAAGCCACACGGAGAAAAAAGTTTTGCTGGAACGGCAAATAGTTTGTTAATATAATAACAGCAAAGAGATTTATTACAAAGAAAAAATCACTTTGTTGTTGTAACAAAATGTTGTTGTGACAGCCATAACATTTAACCTATGTTATAAATTTTGTACAACCAAAATTTACTACTCTTGACAAATCTTTTCGCTGTCACTATATTAACAAACAATTTGCTGTTTCAGCAAAAATTATTTTTCCCGTGCGCTTGATTGGCTGAAAAACCACATTTAAGACATTTTTATCGACAAAAGCGGATTCAGAATACGGACCGAAATGCTTCACGGCAATACACGACGACGCATAAAATTGCAACTAAAGCCTAAACTTCTGTGAAAATAGAGTCCATTTGAAATTGACCGGAGGAAATAATTTTGTCGTCCGTTCGAAGTCGTTCAAAATTTAATTTGCGAAAAGCCTTGCTTTTCCGATCGCTCTCGAAAAGTGATTGATGCCTCTTCATTTTCGTACTTGAACTTTCGTCCTCGAATCTGCCCCGAAGAACCTGCCACGTTCGTTTTGGAACACCCTATGTTATCAAATCAAGCCCTTACACAATCACGTAAAGAAAAAAGGAAATACAAGGCGGTGGTCCCGTGCGGTCCCCGAATAAAGCTTAAATGGCGAACGTGCTAAATTTTCGCGATGAGGAGACGATGAAATCGCGTGTCCGCAACGAGCGATACTCGGCGGCGGTGTTTGCGGCACGGAACACCCCGCGCGAGTCGGTCGCGCGAGACAGAATTATTCGCGCGACGACGGCGTCCCAGCCGTGAAAAATTACGATTTCACGGGTATTGCACAGCGGGAATACGCCGAGTGTATTATATTAAGTACTCCGCGATACCACGAGCGGGCCGAGGAAACGTGACCTTTGAAAAATCGATAGGGCTTCCTCTTGTCGCCGCAAATCTCTCGACCTTCTCTACCCCTCTCTCTCTCTCTCTCACTCTATCTCTCTCCCTCTCGACTTTTTCTTCGCGTACGTGCGCATACGTGGGCCTCTCTGGATCGCGCGTTTTCTCCGCGCCGACGAGCCGATTTCTCGCGGGAAGGAACGGCGAGGAAAGAGCCGTCGAACGTCGCGGCGCGACGACGTCATCGGGACTCGGAACGGCTTCTTGATGAAGACAGGACTCGGAGGAGAGTTCGCGCGCCCCGACAGCGAGGAAGTCCCTCCACCTCGCCCGCGGCGCGCGAGGGTGGCTGAGCGAGGGATGAACGGGGGGCATGGCAAGAAGAGGACGCTTGCGCCCCATGACCGCGTGGCCGCTTTCGAGCGGCCACCTGTGCGCCCACCCTCTCTCTCTCTCTCATCCCCCATCGAAAGCACAGCGGCTTCCCGTATATATAAAGGTTGCCTCGGTATCGCCACACTTCGCATCATTACCGCGGTAACGTGCAATCCACTCAATCTCCACCCGCTCTCCGAGAGATCTATCGCCGCGCTCGGGCACGAGAGAGAAAGAGAGAGAGAGAGAGAGAGAGAGAGAGACAGAAAGACCCACGCCCGGCGTATCTCGGTGAGTTCGACGATTTCTCTCGCAAGCACACACACGTTAGTCCTCCACGTCGTTCCTCGCATCCCCCGTCGTCGTGTTACGCTTTTCGTCGGCCGGCCGTCCACGCGGCCGGCCCGTAACTCGCGCGTTTCCCGTCCGCTCCGGAGAACGGTGAAATCTCGTTACGGCGAACTGCGTCGCTTCCTCACGTGTGTGTGCGTGTGTGTATGTGTACACCTGCCTAACTAACGTCACATCGGCGGGGAAACGAGCCGCGGAGTTCGTTCGGCGCGTAAATTGCGTTTGCGGTAGCCGCGGCGGGCGAAAAATCACAAAGAGCGGAGTCCCGCGTCCTGCGCGCGGAAATTACTCCGTCGGGCGCGAACTTTCCGCGTGCCGGTGACGGAGATTTCGGAGAGCCGCGAAGAGGCACCCACCGTCCGCGCGAATCACCACCGTTCGCCGTAATAAAAATCGTTATGAACCGCGGTGCAAAAATCCTAGAGAATTTTTCCCTCGTGCGGGACACTTTCTTATAAAAATATTAATCACGACGGAGACGCACGCATTCCATGTCAAGGTGCATAGCTCGCCTCATGATTATTCAGAGCGTCGTCTTTCCGCCGCGTCTTCCTGCTTTCGGTCGCCCGAGGAGCCTGTGAATTTTCCCTCGAGAGAGAGAGAGAGAGAGGGACGATGTGCACTTCGGCGTGCACTTACACGGCTGTTCGCCGTCTCCAAGTGTCATCCTTCCTCGAAACGCGACTCTCCCCGTTTTCCGCGGCCGGCCAACGTTCGCCACGTCGAGCTTTTCGACTGGAAGCGAGCGCGAGGGCCACCCGCTGCGCGTCAAGTGGCCGGCATCATCGTCGGCGACCAAAATTCACCCAATAAAGCGATCCTCCGGCGCGCGCGCACGCATACCGCGGGTAATTGAAGTCATCGTCTGAACGAGCGCGAAAACATTTAACGGGACGATAAGTAATTACGGAGGCCGAGGCCGAAACGCGTAACGCTCGTCGCGCGATAAGCAACTCCGTCCCGACGCTCGAAGGAGCAGCTATCAATGCGTAATCCCATAACGAGCCGAAGCAATTAACGCGAGCGGCCGAAATTAATGCGCACCTCATTATCGCGCGACAAGCTGCGTCTCTTGTGCGCTCATTAAAATGTCCTCGTTGGTAATTAATTAATTAACGCTATGTTTACGCAACGCTCGATGATAGCGCGCGCGCGCGCGCGCGAGAGAGAGAGAGAGAGAAAATAATTGAATACCGTCGCGGATAACGGACGGTGGATCGCGACGATGAATCTTTTATCGCGGCGTTCTCCCTGCTTAATCACTGATTACGCAACAAACTCAACTGCTCCTCTCTCGTGCACGCCGTACGCGGGTAAATGTAGTAAAAGTCGATACGAGTGGTACACACAGAGGGTGTCCCCTGCAGCAAAGGGTAGCCGGCGAGCAAAAATGCGATTTAATCGTCTCACTTCGGTGACGCTCGCAAATTCTTTATGCTCTTTAAAAGCACACGCCGCCTGCCGAGCAAGAAGACGGGCAATTATTGCTACGGGGAAACTCGCCTGGTTTAATCGTCGTTAATCAAGGTCGGGAAATGTCGAGAGACACTCCTTCGCGTCGGTATTACTCGGTTAGTGTCAAATGGGTTTTAAATTTTCAGAACGCGACTCGTGTTCTTTGACTTTCTCGGAAGAGACGGGGTGTAATTATTAATAATAACAGCGTTCCTTCAGTGAACGAACGATAATATTGGGAAAAGCAATATACTGTATTGCGGTTCAGAATGTTTCGAATGCACGGAAAGAAATGCAATGAAATTTCCAACATTAGCGTTAATCTTCTTGATTCAAATATCATTGAAGCTACTGCGTTACGTATTGTTTCAATAATTAAAGTATTGGCTTTAATGATATTGCTGTTAAACCGAAAGGACTTTACTCTTACGCATGTTGACCTTTTCCGTGTATATTTTCGAAATCTGCGAAATTAATAACACCAAAGGAGCATTTCGAAAAGTCAAATTTAAAACTATCCATTCTTCGATTCTCTGCGAAAAGGGATCGATCATTATTATAAAATTATCATTTTAATTGAAATTTTTTGCTAAAGCTATATAATTTTTATCAAGATATAAGAGGAAAATTCGGAAACGGACAAAGCGAAGCTACTGAAACTCTGTATTCTCATTCGATGCCGTTGGGTTCCCGAGGAGAAAATGTCTTTGGATTTGTACGGGACATTCGGAAATGAAAATTTTTCGCGGAACACTTCGCGCACGCGTGAAAACGTCGTGCGGCAACTTGGGCGATAATTTCCCGTGGTTTTCTCGTCATTTGCTCGTGTCACAGCGAGCAATTACGTATATACATGTAACACGTTTGCTCGGCGAGCAAATGTGTTCCACATTGAATTCGCGAAACGATTAAACGGATTTATCTCGGTAAATGTGCGGTGCGAGTAATCAACGGACCATACGTTATAACGCGCCTGTAGAATTGGCGGCGAAATTGAGATCCACAAGTTGGGGTTTGATGAGGGCAACGACAATTAGAATTTTCGCGTTGCGAATAACAACGTAACGATAACGTACACATACACACACACTTTCAAATCTTTGAAATTCCGCTATTACAGCTGAGTAATATCGCAAGAAATATTTGTTTGACCGAGATATTTCAAACGAAAGATATTATTCTGCATCCTACATGTCGAATCAAATATCCACGAGTATTCTGCATTTCCAAATATAATCGTCATATTATCTCGTATCTATTATATTCGAAATATAATTTGGAGAATTTTCACAAGTAGTATCGAAAACACTCACTGAGGTTCGGTTTTTCATTTTCTGGTTAACTCGTGGTTTAAACTTAACCTGGTAATAATATAAAAATTATATTCTTCTATTCGTGGTATATCGATGCTACGAGAATCCTCGGTAAATTTTTATAAACGAGAAAACAGCAATTACACCTCAATTGATGCAACTCTCACCTAGCTACCTAATGACGTGTCATTAATGGTGATTAATCGCGTCCAGCGTGAGAAAATCGATCGACCGTGTGTTCTTGCCCGACGAAGAACTTTCGGCCGACGTGAGGGGTGGCGAAAATCGTTCGATTTCAAGTAAACATCGCTCGTCGGATACCTACGGGGCTAAGACAAGGGGGAGGGAGGAGACACACATTATCGGCTCGTGTGCGAATTTCATGGCCGAAGGCGCAAATATTACTCACCGACACGGATGTTACGTAGACGGCCGCGCACAGAGACGCGCGCTCACCCCTCTCGTTCCGCGGTTGCCTCCGCGTTAGTAGGGATTATCTCCGTATTAATACAACGTGTGTAACACGGATCGTGATGTTCGCACGCACACATCCCCCATCCGACATCGTCGTGCATAATCGTAGTAGTTAAGCGGCGAATTATACGCGACATAACTTCGACACGCAGGTGTCACTTTCGCGCTCTTCGCAAGCTCGCGAGCGACACGCGTCGCGGCACGATGCAGGCTGCGTTCCGAAATGTGCTGACTGTACTGATAATACAGTTTTTGCGGATTCCGGAGTCGTTTTCAGCATGCTGCGAGCTAGTAAAGCGTATCGCCTTTTTAACGAAATTGGGTCCTGAAACTGCTGACTTCCGGCTGGTTTCCGCACGTTATCTCAAGGTGGTGCAAGTTCAGTATTGCATACGGTGACAAAAAAATGTCTCTGGATTTAATACAATTTTTTTAATTGAGGCAAATTTGTCTTTTGGAATGGAGTAAACAAACGAATATTTGATTCAACAAGCAGGATTGTTTGTTTCTCGATCAATAAGTATCTTTGAATCAACTGACATATTTCATTTGTATTTTTATTCAAGCATTATAATATCACGAGCGATAAATTATTCGTGAGAAGTAACATTACGTTAGAAATATATTAAAGAACTTTTTAGTTTCAGTGGAACAATATTTAATGTATAATGAAATTAATTTTTTCATTGAAAACGAAATATTACTTCCTCTAAATAATACTGTTTCTTTTTCGTCAAACGACAAATAATTTATTTTAACGAAACAACATTTTTATTCAAACCAAACGATATTTGATATCAAATTATATTGTTTGTATTAAACAAATCAAAGTTAAACAAATATGTATACTAAATCCAAAGAAACCTTTCTCTCTGTGTATGGCAATCAACAGTTGAAATGTTCTTTAAACTCCTCGTCTGAAAGAGGAAGGCCACTATATATTCTCAACGTTATTTTTCACGCGTAGTCTCAACATCAATGATCCTAGTTTTGTCATTATTTTTAAAACATTCCCAACGTCTTCCTTATCGTCAAACCGTGAATTTTGAAAACAATTTTCAGCAAAATTTACAATAACGTACGTACAATTACGCACCAACTAAACTTGGTGTTAGCTCGGCCGTAATTCCAAATTCACTCTTACACATTCGTTACATTTTAAATAAGTTATACCGCGAACACCCCATGCGGCACAATTAGTTTCGCATACGTTCTTTAAACGCGCTTTAAATACGATTATGAGACGTTACATGCGTTTAAAGAACGTGTATGAAACTAACATGCGCCATCCAGGGCACGTTGCCGGCTAATACCGCGTGATACCGCAAATGCGTTCCAATTTTCTCGGTACCGTCACAGTCCGCCGGTAATCTCGGGACGGCTGAAATCTGCTGATTTCAGCAGCGGCACTGTCAGTACTGACAGCGCGTTTTCGGAACGCATCCATAGGTAGACGTCTCGGCGGAGACAAATACTTTTTCAAACTATCGGTGTTCGCGCTCAATGCGCTAAAACCGTAAATCCGCTCACGTGCGCATCGTTTCGCGGCGGGCGTCTAAACAGAATTAATTTGCGATCCGATGAATTATTCAGGAAATGCGGCGTCGCTGCTGATAGCCTTTCTTCTCCACTCTCTTCCTCTCTCTCTCTCTCTTACACTTGCAATCGCCTCGGTTACCGCGCGACGTTACCGGCGATAGGGCTGTCCGCCCGAAAGGCGGTAATTTCGAATCCGAGCGATCCTCTAACCCGAGCAACCATATTAATTAATCAGCGACGCCATTCCGCCTCCGCTGTTGGCCACGGAGATTCACCGGGAGCCGGTGAAAAATAAGAATACGAGTGACGAACGCAACGAAGTCCGCGGCGTTGAACAGGGGGGAAAAGTTGACCGTGCGCATTAGCGCAGTAACAGACGGCGACGGTTTATCGAGCGACCGAGATACCGCGCGTATTACACGCCGGTTAACTCTTCGGCGCAACCTGCCGCGCTTTAACGCGGGCTGTTTCGCGCGATGAAATGGTCATAACGACGACGACGGGCGCTTCTTCCGCGCGGGCTGCTCTCCCGCACCCCCGCGTGTTATTTAACGACGGCCAAAGCCCACACTCGACGATTGTTGGCGCAGTCTTGAATTTATCTTCCCTCCTCTCGTTCTCCCGCGCGTCAAACGTCGCACGGGAGGGGGAGAGGAGGGGGGGGGGAGGAATTATGTCAGCGGCAGAGGCGTTGCATAATTTCAGCCGGAGCACGCACAACCGCGCAACCGAAGACAACAACCGTGTTGTCGCGCGTCGTGCTCGCGCGTTTTGTGCCACCCCCCCCCCTTCCCCGTTGTTCGGATTACGCCCCCGCATGCCAACTATCTGTCTGTCTGTCTGTCTCCATCGCTCTTTCTCTTTCTCTCTCTCTCTCTCTCTCTCTCGCATGCGCTCTCGCTGCGTAGTTAAAAGAGAGGGAAAAGAGAGATCATTCTTTCCGATGCTGATTAGATAATGCGCGCGCGCGCGCGATACACGCGATATACACGCGGCGCATATGTCCGGCGAAGCCAGGTAGATCTGCGAAATTGTACCGTAGAAAATGAAGCGACGCACTGTTTGCCTGATTGCAGAGAGGGACGATGGACGCTAAACGCATCACGGGCTTGATCGCCTTCGTCGTGATCGTCGGCTTCGCCAGCGCGAACGAGAATTACATGGATTACGGAGGTGAGTGACCAATCAGACGAGTTCTTTCTTATTACCCCCGCCGACGACTGGTGCAGTGGAAATTTCGCAAAAATCCCGGGGTTTTTTTTCTCGCAACGCAATTCTCAGACGTCGGGTATTTGCCTGGAAACAATGCCGTCCGCGCTACTAGAGACGAAGAGGGAGTTTCTCGGAGCTCCCCGACCGAAAGAGCCGCGAAACGCGCATGAAACGTAATATAAAAACCGCGCTCTCGGCGACAATCGTGACGTCGGCGGTGAAGTTACGAATTTCCCGCGTTGACGTGATCGATGGAATTGTCGGAGCACCGTTTCACCGGGGGGGGAAACAGCCGGGAAATTGTCCCCTCGAGGATTAATACCGACTGCGACAAACTCGTGCCCTTTGATTGCCCCTCGCATTTTTTCCGCTTCTGGATCAAGAGGAGCCGCGTCCTCTGCCAATGAGCGGATTACAACCGGGTCCCCCCTGCGCTGTAGCTCCACTAGTTCCTCCAATTCATCCGGATTGCTCTCGTGCACTCTCTCCCGGCGCTGAAGCGTCATAACGTCGCGCAATCGGGCGGGAGAAATTCCGCGAGCCTTGCAATCGCGCGATCCCCGACGACGGCGATTATGAGAATCGTAATTATTATCGGGTATCGCTCGAATGAACGGCCGGGCAAACGAAACTTGTCTTGTTGCAGAAACGAAGTAAAATCGAGCTAAAATTGGAACAAAATCCCTCTTTGAAGAAGGTCTCTCTAGCAAAGAAAAAAAGAGTGCCAGATTCAAGTGAACGATTGCTTTAATATACCTTAGCAAATTTTTACTCGGGTCAAACGATGTTTATTTGATCCGAGTAAAATATTTCTCAAGTAAATTATGCAAGCAAAATATTTACTTTATCCGAGCCGAATTCACTCAATCCAAGTGGAAATTTGCCAAGAAGTATGGGAGTAATTATTTGCTTGAATCTAACACTTTTATTCTGTGCGCGAAAAGTCGATACTAAAAGTTATCGTGATCATGGTTGTCGCTTTTTCGCAATGTTAAATGGTTGTGCGCCGCGTTTTGCCTCGTGTCGCGTGCACCTGTCATATCATCTCACGAATTCTGACAGTTCATCAGTTTGCGTATTAAAGAAAAAAAAAAAAAAATATTGAAGACGGAAAAATGAGGAAATCGATTTATAGTCTAACATAGAATTTTGTTGTTTAATCCTTATTTAAATGCGCGAACCGAGATTACTTTCCGTGTAATAATGATTGGCCATAGTTATGCAAGGAGGATCTAACTCACGTGGGGTACGTTTCGAGTTACGTGTAATTATAAAAAGTATAACTGTAAATTTAAAAGTATAAATAGCATTGAGATTTTGCGCAATCATTCGAGAAGTCAAGCACGGCCCATTTTCTTCTCCTTAAAGATACTCATTGGCAAGTTTAGTCCTTAAAAAATGGATAAAATCTAGTAAAAGTGATACGATTGATAGAAAGAAAGAATTCTTTTTTAATTAATTTTAGACGCCCATACGGCTTGAATGGTTTCACATGGGAAGACGTGTAGACCACTCATCGGTAACAGAATCTCCAAAATCGTAATTTCGTTGGATCCTTCTTGCATAACTAATTAGTTAAACAGCGTAACGCACGTCTGTCGTTCTAATACAATAACAACTGTCTCATCGCAAAAGTAAGAAAAATCCCAATCGAGACACGATATTCGCGTCTAATTTACATCCTATTATTGTCCAAACGAATCCGCGGAATTTTCGACGCAGTTTCACAATCGGATAATCGCGCTATTTTCAAAAGGACGTTCGCTTCCCTGAGAATCACCATACCGACAAACGAACGCGCGAGATCGCTCATAATAACGCCCATAATTCTCGCCTCGCAGCCCTTAGCCGTTCGCCGTGTTTTTCCGAGCTGCTACTCCCCCGTCGGGCTGCAAGACTCATTAAAGTTTTAGTCTCACTCGGCATGATAACACGTTTTGTATTCCATTACCGGTAATGCCGCGTATCAACGCGAGAGACCGTCACCGTCACCGTGTCCTCCCGCCACAATAATTAATGATCGCGCCGGATGGTTTATTAAACCGCCAGCCTTCTAGACCGTCGTGGAAAATAAGTCTAATTAAGCCTTCCGTCGAGCTTCGCTCTCTATTACGATGGATCCGTTACGTCGTATTAACATGAAATTACTGTTATCTTCTCTCTCTTTCTCTCTTTCTCGGTGCGCGTCTGAATGTATCGATCCGCGCGAGAGTAATTTTTACAGAACGCGAGCTACGCACCTGCATACCCGATAATTCGCGATCTCATTTTTAATAACGCATTTTTCAGATAGATTTTCCAAAAAAATGTAATAAATTTCTCTCCCTTTCTCTCTCCCTTTTCCCTCATGTAACGCATTCGGCACGCAATCGATTCGGGAATCGTGGTGGATTACACTTAGCACTCGCGGTGATAGATTCGCGGCGGCGGTTATCGTAAATCCGATCCGACCGTTTCGTATCGATCGATCGTCGCACGCGTCGCACTTTTTCATCATCGTCCCTCCTGACCGCGCGAAAGCGCGATAGGTCAAACGTCTCCATTCAATAACCGGCCGTAAAAAGGCAGAATTTTATCATGTAGCCTGTCCGACCGACGTCGTAATAATCTCGTTACAACGTCGTCTCGGGAGAGTCGCCTGGGTGTTCTGGGGAGATCCTTTCGTCTCATCGATATACCTTTCAATGCCGTCCATTCGAGCGTACACGGTGAAAGACACTTTGTACTTGTGTTAAAATCGGTCCTTGTTAAAAAAAAAAAGACAAACATTCGGGCAAAATTGTTAACACACCCGTGCGTTAATTTAACATATTGTGTTTGTTATTTCAATATTTTATGTCGAGTCTCTCGATATTCAGCATGTATAAGCGTTAAAATAACACATCTCACACTTCAGTGTCGAATTAACGTATTAATTTTGTGTTAATTGTTGACATATTTGCGTTGCTTCTCATCATATCCACCATGTGTTAAATTAACACAAAAGTGTAGGCCGTTTGGGACATGTGAAATGTGTGAAATCTAACGCGAAATTTCCTACTGTGTAGACAAATCTCAGCACGTGGGACGTTCTCAGACTTTCTCGGCCGGGAAGAACACCGGGCCGAACGATACTGACGTTATTCTCATCTCGGTCGTGATATTTTAATTAATCCTTTTTCCCGGTCTCCCGCTTGTGCATTCGCGAGGCGAGCGCCAGTTTCCTCCCCGATAGACCTCTTTCCGTAGTTCCAATGTATTATTTATCGAAGCTTTCTGTGGGGAGTATTAGAGAAGCTGTTAACAAAGCAAGCGAACTACGAGGGCGGACTTCGCGAGGACGGTAAAGTTTAACGCGACGATCCGCATTATACAGGCAGGCAACGTAGCCCTACGGCAGTCAACAGGTGTGTTAACACAGCTCGAGTCCGCAATTAGACCGGTGCATTATTAATTGTATTTTCCACGGAATTGCTTCGGCGGATCCGCCGGCAAAATCGACGCGCCGATTGTAACTGCGGCGACGCGCCCCGATTTCTCGTCTGTGTTACAATTTGTTTTGCAAGACATTTGATTTATTTGATGGCTCACGCGCGAGTTGCGGTTTTTCGGTGAAAAAGCGCATCGCCGATATGCCTCGGTTCCACCGCGTAAAATCCGAATTTCACCATGCAGACTTTTCAGAAAATTGTGACAAAGAGGGAGGGAGAGAGAGAGAGAGAGAGAGAAATCCAATTGGAAAATGGCTTTACTATTCGTTTTTGTGAGGTAACAAAACGCACGGGAAAGAGTTTGTCTTCCATACACTACGTGCTAGGCCGAAGCTGCGAGGTACATTGTTGGTTCTGATAAAAAGAAAATCGTTCTTTTAACTTTGATATTGGCTCGATCGAGTAGCAATCCGAATATAATAATTGCAGAGACGTAACGCCCGATAATCGACTCTCTCCTCATTTTTGATCTTTCAATATAAACGTTTTTCCTCTCTCGTGATATAAAAACACCATTTTTCAGAACAATTCGTATTTTTATCCTGACACAAAGGAACGAGTTGCGAGAATCGGAAATAAAGTGCGAGAACAGTTGCGATATTTCGCTCGTTTGGCCCTCGCTATCACGATATAACGATAAAATACAAAACAACAGCACGAGAGAGAGAGAGAGAGAGAGAGAGAAAAGGAGATGATTTCCTTAAACAAATAGATCAGACAAAGAACATCGGCAGTTTCGAACGTGTTTCATCCAGCTCGATAAAACGAGACAACGCTATTGTCATTGCCGCTGAAATATGCTTTTCGCCTGCTCCTTTTTCTCACGGAACGATCCATACGTGCGAATAAAAGTGAATAATCGTTATAACGGGCGTTATGTACGCCAGTAACCGTATAAACGTCCGTCGATTCGTATGGCCCCGCGCGCCCATACGAAGAACGCTACTTATCGTAAAGCGGTTTAATGTCGCATAAAAACGGACTTACCTGCAAAGCGTCATGCTTTCTCTCTATTCTCGCGTAAAAGTGGGTACGCGCATCACGCGCACATCTTGATTTGCATCTTTTCTTCCTTTCCTTTTATTCTTTCTTACGGAGGGGACACGTGCAGCACCGTCATTTATCGGGCCTCGGATCTCTTTCATTTCGGCAGGCCGGCGAGGTGGGTCGCCCCCTTCCCGCCATCGGCTTATTACAGCCGTACGCGCATTGTATTACAGATGAGCCGGCGGAGAAAACGGCCGAGAACATCCGCGAGCTCTACAGGCTCCTGCTGCAACGCAACGCATTGGACAATATTGGCATCCCGCTGGAGCATCTGATGATACGGAAGTCGCAGAGATCACCGTCCCTGCGTCTGCGATTCGGCCGTTCCGGCCCGCACTCCGTAAGTTCGCGTATCTTCAATTATTCTCGAATAATTTGTACTTTATTCTCCCGTGATTTCTCCTCATTATTCAACGTATCTGTCGTTCTTTTATTTTATATCTTCTTTCTTCTTCCCTTTATACGTCAGCCATCTGCGCCACTTTCCGCACGGGAAAAGATTGTATATTCTTGCTTATATATGAGAATATGAGACGTGAATTGATGTTAACCTTTTTCTGTATATATTTATATACTGATTATTGCCCGAATAAGATTTGATCCTGGAGCATGGTAAAGCAGATTCACGTAAATTCGCGTTATTCCGATTATTTGCATGAATTCTTAGTGAATTTCCCTTATTATATTATTCAACGAATCTATTCATTTTGCAATCCCTTTATTTCCCCTTCTTTCTTTCATGCGTCGACCGTTTGCGTCAACTTTTTGTATTCCTGTTGACTGTTGCCTCGGACAACATTTTTTCCGGGGCGTAGCAAAAGCAGATCCGGATTATTCCGACGTCGGTATTCGTGCACGTTGATCTCAGCGCGCGAGTTATTCCGCAAGCACCTCACGAGCTATCGCCTTTCTCTCTTCCTTTCTTTTTTCCCTTGCCCATCGCCTGTTCCTCGTTCACTCTCGGCTGAGATATGCTCTTAAACTTCTACAAGGTACGTGCGTCATGTTCGCCTGAGTTCCCTAATGCACCGTTGTAATTATTTTCTGTTTTACAAGCGATGCATCCTAAAAATACTCCCGACGGTAAGGAGAAGATGAACCGCGCGAATTTCCCGTCAGGTTGCTGTCGCTATCGCAAATGAGTAAGATTTTGCCGCGTTCCCTTTTCTTTTGGCTTAGCTATAAAATTATTTTCGTGCTTTACGCTCGAGACCGAGTTCAAACGAACGAATTAATTGCGAAGCCACGTGTATGAAGCCGCGTATCTCTCTTAGCCGGATGACAAGAAATGTGACAGAACATTCGAAAAAACTCATTAGAGTTAAACCAACAAGCCGTCTTGCCGAGCTGTGTTGACACCGATTTATTTTGCAAGACTGTCCCCGCGCAAACGTTTCCGAAGAGGACATTAATCAGAGGCAAGACACGAGCGACTTATGGAATCGTGTTTGCCGTGATTTCCACGTTTTACCATCCCTTTCCCGCGTAAAATCGCTGCGAAATAAACAATATGAAAAGCAATCACGTTCTTTTCCCTCACGGTGAAGCTTTATAAAGAGGGATTTCAATAGTTCCCTTCATTTAACGCTACTTTCCTCCTCTCGCGGGCGTTTTTATTACAAGATTACCGTTTCATTCAAAGCGCTTATACGCAAAACGGTAAACAAAGCGAGTTGATATCAAGCGTAACGCGATTGTGATAAGAGAGACGGGATTAATGTTCAACGGGAAGGACGGAGGATCAGAGGAATCCTCACAGTTTTGTAATACGCGCTCGGCGCATACGGGAGTACTCAGCGCGATTCTCTTCGAGGCGGACACGTTACGGTTACGTACGGATTACGAAACTACTTCCGTTTTCGAATACGCGCGGCTTAATTCGTAATGCTTCCCGGGCTGCATTCCCCCTTGCATTCTACTCGTAATGTGACGTGTATTTCCTGAGAGATTAATTTTCTCGTAATTAGCGAGAGTGATACGGCTACTGTGAAGCAAAGCGCCGGCCGTGATGCGGCACGCGATACGGAGTACGGCTCGGTAATTAAAAAAAAAAAAAAGGAGAAGGGGAAAGAAAGAAAAATACAAATGAGACAATTGAGACCGTCTTAACGAGCGTTTGGTGTGCTAAAAAGTTGTCCCGGGGAAAAACGGGATTACGGGGGCGATACAATTGCGACGCGCGCATAAAATATTAGTCGAGATTCACTTTCACGGGAGGACATGTGGAGTAATGTATACGCGCGGGGTTTAAAAATATGCACGAGGGGTGTTCCGAATATTTCCCCCGCGCTTCTCCCTCAACAGTGTACGGAACTTTGAGCGGCGACTTAAAGCCAATTGTTGTCGGACACGATTTAAAAGATGAACGACGATCACTTCGTTCACTTTTTACTGATAAGCAGACGCGGTAATTTAAACGATTACCGCCCGAATGCCAGCGTTGTTTTATTTATTGCTCCGCCGTGCGGTATTTTAAGAAGCCCGCCGGTATAAATCGCCCTACATATTTTCATGATAAATTATTTTGCAAGGTACTCTCGGCTATCACCCTTATTCACTCATAAAAGCTCACTCGTAAAGGCTCGCTCATAAAAGCGCGAAGATATTATTCCGCTCGGAGAGAGCTGCGATATCTCACTAAAAACTTGTAAAAAATTTACCTTCGGTTTTGTCAGTGAGTCGCGTTAATAGTGCTTGTACACGCCCACGTGCCGAGTGTCCCAGATTTCACGTGTTTCCTTTCGCTCGCCGATATATCAAGCGACTTGATCTCTCAAACGACTTTTCACCACTTCTAACATTAGTTTCGGAATATTTTTCTATAATGAATCTTCGAGATAAGGCACATTTCGTCGGAATGAAATTAATTTGATACCGCACGAACAGCGAAAGTGATCTATTTTCGCTTCTAACGTTTAATTTCTGGGAGAGAAGCTTTTTTATCCCGATCGCAACATTATCAAAGCCGTTCGATACGAAAAATTCTTCTTAATTCGTCGGAGTCGTCGAGATCCGACGCGAGTTCGGATCAGTCGTAAATTCGTTCGATGAGCTCGCCTACGAAAGAAAAGTATGCGACACACAGTTGGCGTTTTCATATATTCAACTCGCATCCGATTCAAAACCCACACATGCACTTTTCGCCCCACGCAAGTTCAGATATTTCTTTTATACACTTATTTCATCACCTTTACGAGGTCCCTTTGTCGCTTCGTGTATCTCCGATATCTTTTAGAATTTCAATGAAACCCCGCACGACAAATGTATCCAGCGAAGCGATCGTTCCGGTACATGCGCTTTAACGCAGGAAATGAGCAAACTGAATTTTACAGTTGCCCACACACGTCGACACGAGAAGCGCACGTATTTGCTGAAAGTAGGTGTGTTTCACCGGGTTTTTTTCTCGCGCGCGTGCCCATTGTGCGCAGGAATGCGCAATTTTATCGCGCCATCCGTTCTATTCGTCAGTCGAGGAATGCGTTTTAATCAATCAATTTCGCTCCCGCCTCACTTCGACGCTGTGCGCGAATTTCCGCGGCTACGCAGGGAAATTATGCGAAGATACTGTTACCGTTCGCAGCGTACGTTCGCCGGCGATGTGCCTAGTTCGACGTGCCCGCTGAAAAAAAGAGCGAGGAGATGCGGAACTTTCGTATCCTCAAAAGCTCGGCGAAATAATCGCGTCGCCTTGTGCTCGACGAAGCGCGCGACCTTTCTCTGACAAAGGTGTACCGCCGCGTCTGCACGTCGCAGAAAATCATCTTTCCCGATACGGCGTAAATGTGCCAAAAGAAGCTCCGGCCGCGCGCCGGGAAAGGAGGAACCGGCGACCATCCGGGTCTGTGAATTTCCTCCGTCTTTCGCGCGAAAATCGAAGACGACGACTAAAAGAGATCGCCGGCCTCTCTGCACGCGAAGAAACGACTCAGTTCCGTATTCCGAACTCACTTTTGTCGATAAAAGTGCCTTTAAAAGTGGCACAGGAGCTGCCAAATTGGCTGAGAAGCCGCGTTTGAGGCCACTTTTATTGATAAAAGTGAGTTCGGAATATGGACGTTAGCGGTGTCAGCTAAATCCCATTAGAAATTCAAACAGCCGATGAATTTAGCTGCGGCAGCAACATTAGCTACTTTCTGTTTCAAAAAAGACGCGTCGGTCGCGCACCGATCGGCTCCTAATTCCGACCTCCAACTCGCGAGCAACGTAATGAGGACACGGGAACTATCCCGGTATTTATCTCGAATTTACAAATGACCGTAGTTAATTAATAGGACGACTTTAACCCTCGCCTCGAACAACACGACGAGGAACGACGACTGACTGGAGATCCTTTCCCGAAGGAATTCGCGCGTTAGCTCGTTATAATGGGAAAACTTTCCGTCCTCCCGGCCTTGTGCCAATCATCCTACCGTGCGGAAAATTCTTCGCCGAAATACGCGCGAGATCGTGAGTTCTGTACCGTCGGCAATCACAACGGCCCGGCGGTGACGAGTGCGAAATTCCCGGGCCGAATGACGTAACGCATTTACGTAAGATTTGTATACGTACGTCGGTAAACCGCCCGTCGAGGACGTCACAGCACGTGTAGGCGATCCTACATGTGGACGCAATTTGCGAGGAACCATTCTGGCAATTTGCTTCCCGAAGGGTCCTGTATTGCTTCACTAGGATCACGCGTGTTTACACGGAACAACGTGGCTGAAAATAGTAGTCGCAATAATGATGATCTTTCCGCGGCAAGGACGGACCGCGCGCGCGAATTGCCTTAGAATTTCGTGTAAAATAACGTATTCACGCTGATGACCCGAACAATTGGTAAAACGCCGAAAATTACTCGGAACGCGCGCCCCAGGTAAATTGATAGAACGGAGGCGGATATTTTCCCGATTGAGCGGGATCCTCTTCTTCCGCTCTCAACCACACGTCGCGCGATCTCTTCCCTAATAAGATCGTGACTGGAGTTATTTACATCAGGGAGCTCTTCTTCCACCGCCAAATCCTACCTTTCCCAAATTGCGCTCGATTGTCGGCTTTTCGCTAATCAACCGACCGTGCCGCGCCTTGAAGTTTTTTTCTTGGCGAATTTGATGTTAGGAGATATTTTTACTTGCATCGCTCGTGGAGAATTTGTTCGGATCTGCGAAAGTTGTCAGTATGACTATCTGAAATCAATCTTAGTCGATAACTAAAATCTTTTCTAATTGTCATAAATAACGCCCTGCGCGGTAAAAAAAAAAAACATTTTGTGCTTGTGTTAAAGTCGGTCCCTGTTAAAATTTCTGTGTTAAATTTCCAACATATCCGTGTGTTAATTTAACATGTTGTGTTTATATTATCTCAATACGTTTTGCGTTATATCTCTCAATATTCAATGCGTGTAAGTGTTAAAATAACATATTTCGTATTTCAATGTCGATTCGCGTATTAATTCTGTATTAATTTTTGTCTGTATTTTTGTATTATTTTTCAATTTTTTGTCGCGTTAAATTCACTCAAAAATTTGAATGGACTATTTAGGACATGTAAAATATGTTAGATTTAACATACAACTTTTTTACTATGTAAGAAAAATCAGAAATTTCCTTTTCTAAAACATTTCTATTCGCGAGTCAAAATAGTTAATAGATTCAGATCCGTCTGGCGTATTCCATTTCCTTCTACAAGTGTAAATCTCGTTAAACTTTTATTTTATTTTCTACCTATTTATTTCACTTTATTATATTTATTTTACTTATTTTATTTATTTTACCATTTCATTTCTTCTTTTTGTGCTACGTATATATCTTAGCACGCGGTAATTTTACATTTCATCCCTTTAGTCCTGATATCTCTCCCTTTCGTGTCATGCTCCGCTCCGTTCAATCCTATCTCGGTCCTGACGTGAAAAGGACAGTCCGTTTCTCGTGGCGCTTTACCTACCTTTCGCACAATTCGAAGAGAGAGAGAGAAAGAGAGAGAGAGAGAGAGAGAGAAAGAGGTTCTCCACGATTAAATCGGTATTAAACGGGCACAGCGGCGAGCGCGAGTCGCGACGACGTGCAATTAACTGGATTTTCACGAGCAATTAAGTAATTAGCATCCTCGCGGTGTGTTTCAGGCGGGGGTCCTGCCGAGACCGATGGGCGTAGCGGCGGCGGCGGGATACGACGACAACAATTAATCGGCGGCAGCTGATTTAGCCGGAGGCACCTTTTCCGTTTCGTTCGTTGATGAAAACGCCTACCCTCTTCTCTCGTATAAATTACGCATTACTCTGTTTCACTTCACGGTGCTCTGTTCCGCGCGCGTTCGCCGACCTTCCCGAAGCTCTCTCGCGTTATACTCCTTTAAGAAGCGAAGAAGCGGGCCGGAGAAAACAATTTACGTGTTTCTCGATTGTGTGAAACCCGAGGATCGGATGGAAATGGAAGGGGAGAGGAAGGGAGAGAAAGAGAGAAGGAGAAAGAGAAAGAAAGTTCTTCTTCGTCAATTAATTAAACCTAAAACCGCGGAGAGAGAGAGAAGGAGAGAGAGAGAGAGAGAGACGCCGACGGTGATTGATCGCGTGTGAACACGTAGTTTCTTCCGCGCAAGGCCGCGTCTTTAGGAGATCCCCGACGTAACAATTCCCGCGTTCGGAGAGAAGCACCAACACTCGCAGCAGCTGAACTCTTTCGCTTCGCGCCCGTTCGAATTCCACAACGCGTCGACACGTCCCTACCTCGCTGTTCCCCTTAATTAGCGACGGCGCTCTGCAAGAGGACACTTGGCCTAAGTCCCTCATTCGACGCGCGAGGTAACTAATCCGCGCGTCTCGATCTCGTTACGGACGCTATTACCCCTCCGTTTAATTATTGTCGCGCGCCGATATGTGCGTTACATTCGCGCGTTATCCACCTTGGCCGGCTGCTTTCGACAGACCGGACGAATGACGAATTCAATTGTCATCGGCGAGAAGCGAAACGCGACGTTCGACGTTTCGAGAGAGAGAGAGAGAGAGAGAGAGAGAGAAAGACGGGACGAGCTCGGATTGAATTTGTACAGAGCCGACATGAATTACGAATCGATAAACGCTATCTTATCGGTGTTCTGTTTTCGCGCTTTCACGGACTTGATTCCGGTCCTTCTTGGCCGTCTTCGGGGGCCTCTCGACAGCACAGCAATTCCGAGCAATTCCGTAGACCTTCCACGCTGGACCACGTCGTCTTAAGAAAGGATGGGCTCTCTCTCTCCAGCCGTAGTAGGATCGTAAAAATCACTCGATAGCTCCGAGACGCTGTGTAATTGTCAACAGCTGGCCTGTTGGTCCACCGGTCGGTCGCTAAAGGCGTGGTCTCTCGATAAATGTGCCAAATAACATGACCGTTGCTTTGTCGTAAGATAGAGGAAAGGGAATCAAGTGGAAAGGCAAAGACGCGGTACTCCCCGCGGTAATCTGAGGACGTAACGCAGAGGCAGGCTAAGAAGCCGGCGCGTCTCGATGTTCGAAGACTTCGGGTATCATCTGTGCGGAATACGGGTCGTTCGATGAAGCCATAAAGAGGGTCGTGTCTCAATACTGTGTGAATATGTCGATTTGCAAAATTAAAAATAAATTATTATGTAACACTGTGTCACATTTATTCCTCTGCAGCAATTGTGTTCAAGATTCTTGATCCCTCGCACGAATCCCGCGCACTGAGAGAGCGCCTGTGCGTTTCCCCTGCAGGCGCTTGATCGGCGATGATACAGAGTATCTGATCTCGTCGATTAGACTATATAATGTATGGGGGAAAATATTATTATTCTTATTATATATGCGTGGCGGAAAATACACTGAGAGAAATCCTACTGAGGTTACAGTCATTTTCGGCCAAATATCTTCTTACGGTTTTCATTCTAAAAATGGTAGTAGCAACAGGCATGTCATTATCGATATTTAACAATGCTATACGGAAAATAAGCAGAAGCTCCCACAGCTAAAGACTAGCTTTCACAGGTAAAAATTAGCCGTCGTATAATACAACTGAAATTTAATTTAATTTCGCTCATTCTTTTGTCCATGTATTTAGCTCTTAGCTTCCACGAGTAAAAACTAGGTCTGATAAGTAAATTTCAATTGTATTATATGGCTAATTCCTTTTCTCATGCGCAATCCTAATAACAGTGATTAGCTGTCGTCCCGTCATTTCAATATATATTGTTGTGTGGTTTAATTCTTGCATTGGATATATAATATGATATACTTAATAAAGATGATGATAATAATAATAATGGTAATAATAATCACTGATACCATAGCAACTCTTGCTAAAAAAATGCTTCTTCTGACTATAATTCTTTTATTTACGCGTTTCTAGTTGCAAATGCTAAAAACTTATTTTCCCGATGTGTTCCTTTCTTCATTTGAAACGCGCCGATCTGACGAACGAGCAGATCCGCTTGATGGATTGCGCTACTTCCTTGTCCTCGTGACTCAGATCGCCTATATTCTTGAATTCCGGCCGTAAAAGAACCTGACTGCGTACACGCTCCAGAGTAATCGACAGCGGCATCGTCAGCACCCTCGACCAGTTCGTCGCCTCGTAATTAGCCATAAACTGGAATGCGAGATTATTTGCAGATTGCGTGTGAGCGGCTTCGCTGTTGAATCTCAGGATTCACTCGGTATATATGACTACCGACTCACCGACCTGATCGAAACACGTGTCCTCGATGTGGAACATTATGTGCGTGAGAGGTTTCACGACGGGCGAAACTTCCGGCAGACCGATCAGATCCGCCTGTCGGTTTTTTTCGTCGCAACGCAAGTTATTTAATACCCAGTCGGACGCCCGGATTAAATATTCGTATATGATCTGGAAGGCAAAAACGTATTTGTGAATATATCGATTCATGAATTTTCTGTATTACGGACACGCAAGCATTTCGGACTTGGTGACTCGCTTTACTAACTTTCAAAGAACGTCGCCCGGTATTCGTGAACAGCAACTCGTCCGTGTAAGTCTCGATGACGCAAGTCATGTTCTGTAACTCGCTGTTCCTCGGATTTTCACTTTCTCTCTCGAGGCTGTAAGGAGAATTTTTTTTATATATAATATAATAAAACGCAAATTAAAGCACGTACGAAACTTTCAATTAGTATCCGATTGATTAGAATCCCGCTCGGATTAAATCCAGCAAGCTACGTCTATCAAAAATTTTCTGCTCGAACTGTCAATTATTCATAGAACCGAAGTAACATTAAGGATGTGTTGCCCATTAATGCTCTATTTTCAGTGGCTGGTCCATAAATTTAGTATTTATCAAACAAAATTACGTTCCTATACATTTATTTCACTATCTAAATAATAAATGGTAACTTAAAACAAAATTAAGATACAGACATATAATACAATATTGTAAATTTCGAAAATATTAATTTATTTTTATTAATGATATTTAAGTATCAGTTCATCTAATAGAGATCCATAGAAAAAGCGAATAAATGTATAAGTATGTAAATAAGTATGAAAGTATGTAAGTGTTTAAATATATGAATATATATATTTCGAGTCTTTTTTACTATAAGTTATGAATTTTACACCGGTATATTTTCAAAACAAAATGATCAATAATTTTGAAATTTGTATATAGTGTCTGCGTATTAGTCTTTAATATCATAGTAGTTTTTCATTAAAATCTTATTGTTATATATATATAATTTAAAAGATATTAAAAATAGAAGTTAAAAATAGCACGTTAATCTCAAGAAACACGTAGAAAAAATGTCATCAACTTTAGTTATAAATATCTCAACTTTCGAATGATCAATCTTTTCCTAATTACACGAGCAATGAGAGAGATAATGTTTCAATATATATGCAGTGCAAATTTCATCGAATTCTTATCAAACTCATTTCACTTTACAATTATCTTTAAAGTGGAATAACTTTTGATCCAGGCTCTGGAAACCCAGACCCGATGGAAACATCCACGTGCAATCGACGTGAAATCCAAGCAAAGAAGTCGATTACACGTCGATACCATGGATGTTCACATGGAGGAATTATTACCACATTTTCTATGTCACTTTTAAATGCATTGTAGATCAATTTGTAATTTTTTCATTAATTTGAGCTGTAGACAATACATCCTTAAAATTATCTACCGTATAAAAGTCATCAAGATAATGATAATTGCACAATTATGAATCTATTTTTATATCGAACGACTACATTATGAGTCCTGACACCGAGACACGAACGCACCTCTCCTTCACGAGGAGCAGGAAGGAGTCTATCTGCGCCGTATGCTTGTTATCCTCGTCGATACTGCAAATCGCCTCGGCGAGCGTCGTGGCGGCGGTCGATTTGTCGTACGGATTGAATGGACTGAGCTCGCAGCAGCTCGTGTCCGCGGAACTCGGTGTACCCTGGGACTCGTTTCTGCACCTCGAGGACACGTCCAAGAGGGTGGAATACAGGGCAGCACACAAAACCTGAAGCAGCACATTGCCGCCGATCGGCCGACAGTGCGCCGGGATCTTGTCGTTCAGCGCGAACGCGGCGCGCAAAACGGGACTCGACGCCGTCACGTACAGCTCGGCGAAGCAACCGATCGCCAGGGACATCGCTTGATATATACTGGCACCTGTCTGAAGATGATTTTTCGAATCTATGAGAATGCCGACTCACGTGCCAGAATCGGTCGAATTTCGTGATTTATTTCGTGGCCTTGGGCGCGCGTGCGCGTGACGTGCGATTCTGAAAACGCAGTTGACTATGAGGTTTAAGGATGTATCACCGATATCTCAGAATAATGAAAATATTATTTAAAACATTACAAATTGATCCACATTGCACTTAAAAGCGACATTAAAAGTTTGACAATAATTCAGAGACTGGATGAAAAGTTATTCCACTTCAAAGGAAGTTGTAAAATAAAATGAATTTGGCAAGAATTCGATGAAACTTGCACCTGCGTATGTATTGAAATGTTATCTAACTCGTTGCTCGTGTAATTAGAAAAAGATTGACCATTCGAGAGCTGAGATATTTGTAATTAAAGTTGGCACTTTTTACATATGTATGTTCCTTGAGAGAAATCAGTGTGCTATTTTTAATTTATATTTTTAATATCTCTCTCAAATTAAAAATAAGATTTTGACGAAAGACTATTATGATATTAAAGACTAATATGCAGACATAATACACAAATTTCAAAATTATTGATCACTGATCTTTGTTTTAAGAATATAGCGGTGAAAAATTCATAACATAATAATACTCGAAATACATGTACATAAGCGCGTATTTAAGTACTTATATACCGTTTTCTAATATCTGTGCTTCTCTATTAGATCGACTGATGTATATAGTATTAATAGAAAATAAAAAATAATATTTTTACATTTGCAATATCATGTATATGTATTTGCCTTAACTTCGTTTCAAATTAATTTGTTAATTAACAATTAAATTACATTTATTATTTAGATAACGGAATAAATGTATAGAAACGTAATTTTGTTTGATATTAAATTTATGAGTGGTCCTCTAGATGCGCCACTGAAAATGCAGCATTAATGAGTAATACATCCTTAAAGAATGACTGAATGATGAATACTGTTAAAAAATATACACTGGGAGAAAAATCTTTGGTATTTGGAATTGTAATACCGTAACTATACACTATAGTAAAATAATTATAGTAAGGGGAAGCATTTTTCTATTAAGTTTTACTATAATGTCAATGATGATAACCTTACATGCATATTAGACTGCTACTATTTTTGTAGTTAAAAAACATGTAATTAAAGCCAAAAATAACTATAATTTCTCTCAGTATATATATATAAACGATGAGTGGATGAGGTCGAGTTCAATGTAAATTGAGTCACGTCACGTAAGCGATAATAATATACGGTAATTACTTTCGCGGCTTCCAAGAGCATCTCGACCACCGGCTGCATCATGATCTTCAGCGGCTTTACCAACGCATTGAGCCACGGTGGCCTCGACTGATTCCAGACCTTGAAACAACAGGTGAATCGCAGTTATCGATCTTCTTCTACTCGACAAAGTAATACGTTATCAAATTTCTAGGCACTACAATAAAAAAAAGCGTTTGAAGTCTGACAGTAGACAGGCTGTAAATGCTCTTGTGTGTGTGTGGCTATGGGTGTGCAAAATTATTCTTTTCTCATAAAACAACTTTTACGTCGAAAAAGGCTCCGTGCATCAAGACGTGAAAGATTGCAAATGTCTCTTTCGAGATTATTCACAATCTACGTAAAAAGTACGAAGAATACTTTCGTATATATTTTTTCATCGAAATAAATATTATTTAGAAACGTTGCTGCCGTCGAGATAATTATTTTACACCTATATTATACTTGTTTGTAGAACATTATTTGTCATTATTTGCCCGCGACAATATTATTTGTCGTTATTTGATATTATTTGTCATTATACCTCAGCCTACCTCTGGCATATTATCTTTGTCTTTTTATTGAAACAAACCTTGAATTTAGATTACACATTACTCGCTCGAACACGTCCAAAATGCATTATATAATTTACGATTTTAATGAGAATCGTTGTCATTTTATCTCGTTAAATAACATTTCGTAAAAGCGCGCGACCTGTTGTCTGTCCAGATAATTGGACCAGTTCGGATCTTGCTTCAACACCGGTATAATTACGCGCTCTGGCTCGTTAACCGTCATCACCAGTATGTGAAACAAACTGTACAGTGCCAAAGTGGATGTTATTTTCAGTGATTTGTCGCACGCCGATCCGCTGCACAGGAAACCGCCGCAGCTCATTCGATCCTCCTTCGGTTTATCGGTCGCCTCGTTATCCACGTCCACGCACGTGAGACCCACGTTTTGACGCATCAGAGTTGTCAGCAGCATCTTCGCTACGACGTAATCGCTCATCGATATCACCTGTGAACAGAGAGAGAAAAATCTTCTCGCACCTCCCGGTCGCGCAAAGCAATCTCCGAAGAGCTCTCCCCTATAATTGCGGCAACGATCACCTTCATTAATTGAGGCCAGTTAGGCTGAGGCTGATGCCTCATAACGTTCAATTCAAGAATGACAGCTTTGTCCTCGGGTAAGGTTACAATGTCCGTTGGATCGTCGATCGAGCCTAACAAATTCGGAGCGCATATTGACAGCCAAGGGGCTGGACCGCGACGAGGACGCAGGATCGCCATATTCTCTAATCCGTGTCGGAAGATCTGCATAATAATGATTTATATTAGTACGAAAAAACCCCCACAATTAAATGTAATAAAATAAAAGAATAATACTTAATATCTGCTAATCGACATTACAAATATATCTCCTCTAATTATCTTTGAATATCTCCCCAATAATTATTCATATATCAGCATTAAAAATATAACACGATGTGACATGATATAGAAGAAGGATGATTAATGTTCGATTATTTTTATATTTAATAATTGACTCGTTCAATTTCCCTCCGAACTAAGTGTCTTCCCGTCGCTTTTCGGATGACCCGCGTCGCACGATCGTTTTCACGATCTAACGTCGAACAGTACCTGATACAGTTCTTTGAGAGGGGTGCCTCTGAGCAGCAGGCAGATCAGCAATTCGTTACATTTTGCGTGAATGTCTCGTACGGCCGTCGACAAGTTATTCGGACGTAGACCCATCATCTCACCGGTGTCGGTGCACGCGGCTAAAGCGAGATACCCCGTACAGCAGAGCACATTAAAGGCGTCCGACCAAAATTGCTCGGTCCGCGGCAGCGTCGGTCGTCCCTGTCGGTTACGCTCGTCTTTAATCCACATTTTTCATCCCCGACTAATCGCGCGCGCAATTAATTCGAACGCGAACTCGTTCTGTCTCAACAAATCGCGGACGAATACAAAATGCACGTAAACGCGGTAAGACGCGCGGGAGATAAATGGAATAATCGATTTTACGAGTCGAACGAGAGTCAGCCTCGTGTGATTCATGCTGACGATAAAGCATCGCCGCGGATAAGAGAAGAAAATCAATTCAGAGTTTGATCCGAACTACCGGTTGAGACAGAGTTACGTGGCCTTACGTGGGTGAATCGCGTCGTTATGATAGACAGCGACTCATTCAGCATTCCTGAGAACACGCGCTGTGCCATCTTAGGCGAGACCGTGTTCCACAAATCCGCCTTGGTGCCTGGAAATATTCGAAATATCGTTTTTCGCGAGCGTTTTCACGAGCCGGATAAGATGCCGCGTCCCGAGTTCGTCCCTACGAGAGAGATACCGATCTACGGGGTATTAAGTTTAGTATAGGACAAGCCGGAGCTCATCCCGGAGATCAGCTTCACCTTGCATGTACAGCCACCACATTTGTATAACGTAGGAGCACCGTTCCCTCTCGAAGAACGGCTTATTGCTGTGCCAGCTGAGCGAGTCCGCCTCATTAAGGATGTACAAGGATATTAATCGGCAGTGCAGATCGAGCAGCCTCTCCGCTACAGCCTCGGCCATTTCGTGAAACTCCTTGTAAGACTTGTTGATCTTTTCGCTATTAGGAAAGAGAAAAGGAGAGAGAGAGAGAGAGCAACGGTAAAACAAGGCACTATCGTCGGAGTTATTTTATAACACGTAATTTTTATAACACGAAGCACCTCGATTGAGAAGAGATTTTCCCTTTCGCATACAGATTGTAGCACCACAGGCAGTTTCGTACGAGCGCTGCCGCGCCTAAAGTGGCAGTGAGCACCGTGAGATCGGCGTGATCCAAGGATTCCTGAATCAACATGTGTAAGTGCTCTGAAAGGAAGATGGAAATACAAAGTTTGCCCGATCTATTTCGCCATTTTCTCCCGGTTTTCTCTCTACCAAACTTAGGAATTGAAATATTATCGAAAAAAAAAAAAATCTAGAACGCATGCACACAAATACGACTTTCTTATGATACGGTTCGCTAAAATTGGTAGAATGTCGTCTAAAACACGGTAGTAAATTAATTACTTAATTAACATAGAAACGATTTTCTCGGTAGAGGAAATTCGAGCCAAGATGTAATTACAGAATTATCCGGCACTGGACTCCAAAGAGATCTTTCTCTCTCCAGCGAGATAAATTTCTAGTAACATGAATTATCATTCTTTAATTAATTTATAATGGCCCTCGAGGAACATAAATTTCTCTCACATATATAGTATTACATAACGTTACAGAAACATTACAAATTCTTGATAAACTAATGAAAAAGATTTGTATAATTCATCTCATACTCGAAATACATACATGTAATATTTAATTGCTAAACTCTTTACGTTAATGGAAATTAAAGAGAAAATCGGGCTTCGGCTGGAATTTCATTTTTACGTTCTCTTTCATATTGTCGTATTCGTCGTTTAACGTTTCACCATATTTCTAACGTTTGATATTTTACCAATTAGGGGAAGTTGCCTAATTCGTACAGATAATAGAAAGAGATATATAAGTGTTTAAATATATGCATATGTATATGTATTTCGAATATTATTATAAACTATAAACTTTATATCGATGTATTTTCAAAATAAAATAATCGATAATTTTGGAATTTATATGTAAATTGGTGCTATTAGTTTTTAATATCATAGGAGTTTTTCGTCAAAATCTTATTCTTGATTTAAAAGATATTAGAAATAGTAAGTTTGAGTTAATTTTCTTAAACTAAGTTAAGTTAAAAGTTGATCGCTATAAATTTTCAAACTCAGTTAAGAGTTAGATTAAAATGAAATTAGCTTTATTAAAGTTAAAAATTAAAAAGTTAAAAAATAAAGTTAAAAGGTAATTATGCAAAGCTACACGTATGAAATATTTTAACTAAAAAAAATTAATAAGTTAAGATTAATACGTGAAAAGTAACCAAGTTTAGATTATAAGTCAACTCATTTAAATTTCAACTAAGTTAAGTTAAAAGCTATTAACTTTTCAACTTTTAACTTAACTTTTAACCGAATCAGCAAGTTATCACCCGATCCTAAAAGATAGAAATTAAAACTAGCACGCCAATCTCTTTCGAGGAACATAAATAAAAAGTCAACTTTAGTTGCAAATATGTCAGCTCTCGAATCATCAATCTTCATCTAATTGCACGAGCAATGAGTTAAATAATATTTGAATGTATACGCAATGCGAGTTTCATCGAATTCTTATCAATCTCATTTCACCACACAATCTCCCTAATTAGCACAATTTTGGCAACTTGCCCTTATATTCCGTATGACTTACTGTTGTTTATTTTTTTTCTTCAAATAAAGCATACCTAGCAACTGTTCGGCGGTATCGACAACGAGCAGGATAAAGTCGGACGGTTGGATGCGCTTGATGGCGCCGTCTTCGCTGTCGACGCTGGACGCGCTCCCGTTTTCGGCGCAGCTTAAACCGGAGGATCGCTTGAAAGCGGTCGCAAAATCCGCCTCCCACCACGTAACGATCTTAATCGCGGCGAACGAGGCATGCCGCGGGAAATCGAGCTTGCCGCCGCTGATGCGTATGCACAGGGGCTCCCTCAGGACGGTCTGCATTTCCTGCATCGCAAATTACGACGTACAACGCCGGGCGTATTAATTACGACGGGACCACCATAAATTTTAATAAGTCAGCGAACAATTAATGGTAAATTAATTGCGTCTCGTTGATTACGCGCGCGCACGCGCGCCATTCGCGTTTAAACGTGCGTTCGGTACACACGCGCTTTGCGTTTTGATTGACGTAATTGTGATTTAGCGTGAGTGTGCGTGCGTCGATATCCTCCGGCGCGATCGCGCCGCGGGATATTTTGCGCGATGTAAGTAACGTCGGGAATTAATTAAACGCGTCAATATAGCTTTCTCTATCGCGATAATTCTGTTACGCGCGCGCGCGCGCGTTCGTGTTATTACATTTCCATATAGAATATTTCGCGACGCGAATAAATTTACGAGTGCGAGTTAATTGCGCGAAAATTAACTAAAATATCGGCCCGGATTCTCGTCGGGCTGTGATTCAAAAGTCGACCGTCCTGTCGTGAAATACGGTAATGACTGATAATTGAATCGCTCAATTTGCACGCGATATATGCGTGTCGCGATCCCACTTTCGATCGCGAGCAATAAATCAATTGCCCGCCCCCTCCCCCCCTCCCGGCCCTTCCCAATCGAGTTATACAGCAAGCGAAATAAATACGGGACAGTGCGTGCTCTCTTTTTCTCTCTCGATATTACCCCGTTTGGAATTGTCGACACAGTCGATTGTTAAAAGCGCTCGAAAACTGACGGACGTTTAATCCCATTAACTCCTTTGCGGACTGAGTATAGAATGAGTATCGCGACAGATAATTAATACGGCTGGTTAATTAATACCTGGTAATATTGCATGTCTCGCTGTAATAAAATTCTTACGCGATCGACCAAATTCCCATCCTCCATAATCTCCATTTCTGTCGGTCTGTTGAACGGTAAAGAAAAAAATTACTTATACGATCGTATCGTACGATCTAATCGTCTTGCGCATAATTTTGCAAGTGTGCTAGCGAATAGGTGCTACACGATAAAAGAAACGTTGTGTTACTTTAACACGGGGAATGTGTTAACTCGACATTATATTTGTGTACTTTGTCACACATTACCTTCGTTAAAGTAACACAAAATTTCGATCGATCGCTTTTAATACAAAATGTTTACTGTGTACTTGTGAATAAAGCTAAAATTAAGACTGATCCTTCGACATAAAATGTATACGTAAAATTCCGTAAAATTTATGTTAAAATGCGTAATTATACATTTTTCAATGCTAAAAATCCTGGATCGGCCATTGACCAATTAATGATGTAAAAGGGAGTAAGATTAGATTTAGGGACGCTTAATTCATGCTGTATTTATTACAAAGAGATGTGCCTTTTAACAATAAAAAAAACTTTATATACAGTGATTTTATAAAAAGTTATCAATCTAAATAATAGCGACATGAGGACATGTTTTCTTTGAGATAATTTAGCAGACAATTTGCACTTCCTACAAACGATCTAACGTAAAGCATAAATAAATACAAGGTGTATCAAGCGCCATTGCAGAAGTACATTGCCACGGCTGTGCAAACATATAAGACAGAAATGTGATCGTCTAACAGATTACATTTACTCACATGAAGATTCTACGAGGTACCACGTGATATCGATATTCTCTCCTGTATTGGTTTTATGTACAAATTTTATAAATCAGATCTTCAATAATTTACATATATATGTATACGTGTATGTATGTATGTATGTATGTATGTGTATATATATATTAAAGGTCTGATTTGTACATATATATATATTTTTTTTTTATGTATATATATAAAGTATTATATAGTAGATTAGTATTCTATGTTATAATTAAATCTCTGTTGATATCAATCCTGGGAAGAGAGACTATCTATCACAGGTTGCTTCTCCTTGCCGCTGTAGGAACACCTGTCAAAGTACACTTGATTCCTTACGATCATTGATATCTCGTTATTGAGTAATTCGTGTATCGTTTTGCCGTCGTGCTTGTATATCCATCGACCATTTAGAAAATCATAACGCTTAGGCCCAGATCTCGGAGAGGCCAGCCAAATCTGCTTGTTTGGGATCTGACGATTTATAACGTAAGTACCATATGGCTTGCCAAATTCAACGGTCAGCACACCATCCTGCAAGTAAATATTTCACCAATGCGATCACATGCACGTCTATCACTCACGTAGATCTTTTAATTAGACACACATACTCCGTAAGATACATCGGCATCCGGCAGGTGATCCACAGCTTCGATCACTTCCTCGAAATACTCATATAACGACTCCAAAGTCTCCTCACAGATCTTCTGGTATTGTGTGGTGCTGAGTTCCCTGGTAAAATCATGTAAACAATAAGGTTCTCAACCTTAACGAACTACGTGAAAAATTATTAATTCTAAACATGACAAGTAAGACGGCTACTCACAATTGCATCGAATACGATGAATCAGAGCTGAAACTGAGGCTCCGCGCGGACAATCGGAGCGGCTTTTTGTAATTGTTCCTTAGAAATCGTGTTGAATGGTGGCCAACATAACCTCCAACGTAACTGCTACATCGATTGAATTGCGACACGAATCGTCCAGCCGTGGATTTATCGAATAAACTGCACGACAGTCTTGAAATGATGTCGGATCTTCTAACAGTGAACATGATAATCCCTCTTGTTTGATCGATTAAACGTTTCCAGCTAGCATCAAACACAGAGATTCCTCGGCGCAGCCGCGCTCTCACAGAATTGCCGCGGAACCGAAGGAACTCGGCTTGACACGTGCTTTTCTATTTTGACTTTGCGAACTTGAACTATACTCGTACACCATGACGAGAATATTTGTAAACATAGATGTATTGTTAAAACGCTTATTATATAAAATACAATAGGGGTTGGTCGAGATTTTATTCAGCAAACCGCGAGGCAGTAACGTAACGTTACCGCGCGACGGGATGTTACCGACTGTGACAGATCACCGGCAAATTAAAACTTATGACGATAATAAATACTTCTTTACTCAGTGGCGTATGTCCTGTCGCGATATCCCCATTAATTCTTATAAACGCACATTTCCGCATTTATAAAATACTCCTTTTTACATTTCAGTTGTGAAATTTCCACACGACGTACGTTATGCATTTCGCGAATTTTAACGCGAATTGTAACGAAGTTGCGAGTTACGCGATGGAAGTGCGCCGCGCATTTATCTGTGAGTGTTACCACAATATCAATTTGTTTTATTATGTACACATTGTATCATCAGAATCCGACGGGACAATGCGAAAAGCTCCGGACGGCTTAACTTCATTGCACGTCCGATATCGGATGATTATTGCGAAATCGGAGCGAACAGTGACACGATAACGATAATCCGAAATCGGTGTAATCGGCGCTTTTGTCGGGCCGCATATTAATACTCATATAAACGGTAGATCAATATTAATTTTATGTCAAGTGTGAAAATTAGCAATACACCCGGTTAATCTATAATGCAGAATCGAGCTGACATTTTCAATAAATTATCGCTGCGGTAATTAATAATTAAGCCTGGCGTTATTCGCGTGTGTCATCGTCTCAGACGGTACACAATATTTGCGAAATATAAAAAGAATATAAATATTTAATACTTAATAAGTATCCAGATAAATGAATATTTTTCATAGGTAATTAAAATGTGGTTTTACTCGAGCGAAATATTTTTATTCTTTACAAAAGATATCCTTCATAAATATTTTTCAACGTTTTATAAATATTGCGTGCTATCTGGAGTATCGTAGGAAAATTTCATATACCCTCATCTGCAGCGAACTAATTTCAGAAATATTGCACAGCTTTAAATTATTATAAATATATTCGATTCTGCGAGGGACGGAGAGCCAGCGCGTTTTCGCGAGAAATCAGCTGAGAATAAGGACGAGATATCAGCGAATACGCAAAAATCTAGTTGGCGAGGGACACGTAATCCTGACGATATCGGCGATACCGCCGGATGTCTCCGCACGAAAACGTCGGCCGATGCGGTGTTGAGCGAACGAGAGCGGGCTGGTCGAGGGAATCCCCGAGACCAACAAGATTCCCACGACCACGAGGAATAACGAAAGCGAGAAGAGAGGGGCGAAGACGATAAAGAAGGCGAGGCGGTGGTTGCACTGGAGGATCGTTCAATGCACGGTACGCGCGCGCACGTATCAGATTTTTTCCTAATTCCGCGCTCGGTGCTCGACGTATTATACTACGTGTCGCGTCTGCTGCGTCGCAAATTGCTGATAAATCGCAGACATGTCCGTCGACTGTGCTATGTTTCGGCTGATACTTGCATTAGCCTGCGTATTCGCGAGACCGGTGTTCACCTACGTGCTGCCGGACCCGACTATTCAAGTGTTTTCGCCGCGGGGCCTTCGAGTTTCCATACCTGGTGGGTCTCACGCGAGGATCAGTGCATCACAATGCATCTCGGAAAGAGGGAGATGCGACGATCGAGAAGTCCCGTCGAGAGCATTTCGTCGGGGAGGCTTCCTTGAAAGCCCCGAAATGACAGAATCTCGTTTAATTCGTCGCTTCGGTGGGCAGAATTCGCGTTGCAACGAGACACGAGATTCGCCTGCATCCGCGACTCTATAAATGCGATCTTAACTCGCGATTTTCTCCCGCAAAAAGTGATGTTCTTCCTTTCAACAACTTTCCTGTTTATCTCACTTTATTACCTGACGAACTGTTAGTTCGATTGGAGGCGCATTGAATGGGAAATGCGTGGCCATCGTACGCTTCTGGGATTCCCTCGATACATCGTCGGCTCGTGAAGTTTCAACAAATAGACGGTTACTTGCGGTTTTTCCCAGACCGGCCGATCTTATCTGCGTTAAACGTGCTAATCATGCAAGCTGTCAGAAGATCATTGATTACGCTGACCCTTGGCCGTAAATTGCAAAAAAACTTCAACCGCCTCGATAATTTGTAGTTTCTAATGTGACTTCGTTTCAGAGCGTAAAGAAAGATATATAAATTACTCGACGCGAAAACGAGTTGAAACTAATTGCGTATAAAGGAATTAATAATATATTGAAAAATGACATTCGAGGATAGATTGCGACTAATTGCGCTTTGCATATTTAATTATTCACGCAATCGCATTACTCTATCAGGAATTTATATATTATAATATATATATTACATTAATTATATGTCATATAATTCATATATATATACTATAATTATATATCATATAATTATATTTAATATACGACATATATTATATGTTTATAATTGCACATAGAATTGTATACAGAATTCTTATATATATTTAAAGTAATAATAAGTGCATTATGTTTTACAGATGCACCGGGCTTGCGAATATTTGGTTTTCACGCCAACGTCAACAAGGCGATTCGCCCTACGGAGAACGGCGACATTTCCGGTAATGTTTATTCAGCGCAAAACGGCCGCTGGACCATCGAGGACCTCACGGTGAAGATACAGACCGGGGGTGTACTTAATTATTGGATTTACGTGCAAGCGGACGGTGCCAGCTACAAGAAAATAGACCAAACGTGGACGTATTCCCGTAAGATTACTCACGCCAGCCTCTCTAGTCGCGAGTAAAACTAATAATAACGGTGTTACGGTAATAACGTGCGTTGAATTAATAACCAGCGTTTGTCAGCCAAGAGTCCACATCAAACGCAGAACTCGGCGTCGAGAATGAAATTTCAGCCGGCGGTCAACTGTTGTTCGAGGACGACTTCGACACCCTCAATGAGTCACTGTGGGCCCGCGAGATAAAAATGCCATTAAGCCCGGTGGGTATCCCGCGGGCTTTCCGCCGAGAATAATTCTAAGAATGCGACAACGAAACGTCCATATGTAAATCCAGTTATTCATATTACGCGGTGGAAGGTCAAAGCGCAGCGTGCGACGCCGGTCTTTTTCGTCGAGTTACAGATTTCCGTCGCCAAGAATTGCTTCCAGGCCGATCAGCGCGACGGTGCTGTTGGGAGAGCGAATGATAATTTCATCGCCCACGTCGTCGACGTTGTTATCCCGCCGCAAGAAATTGTTATTCCCCGACATCCTTGCGCGGCTCTCGGCCTGAAATTAATTTTCGACGACTGCGTATCTCTGGGAGCCTTAATTCATTTAATTATCAACGATAGAAATATAAGGACGAGCACGGGATGTATTAGTGCTATATAATAATGTGATAATATTAATATTATTCCACGGGAAATGGCCGGAAAAATTCGGCACGTTTCGCAATACACGATCGACGGGTTCTTTACTCTCCCACAGAATAATATTGATAATGATATCACTTATTATTAAATTAAATATATATATATATATAACACTATGACATCCCGTGCTCGCTGGCAATAGATCTCTATCGCTACCTTCCTAACGGAACTGTAACATTTTAAAATTAATCACTATTCTTATCAAAGCTGTTTCTCTCAGTTATAACAATCATTTCTTCCCTTTTGATCAGGATTACGAGTTCAGCGTGTATCACAACGAGAACCATCAGATGCTCGTGCGCAACGTAAGAGGTCAGCTCCTCTTAAGACCCATCATACTGGAGGATTCTTACGGCGAGAATGCCACCGCGTACGGGAGACTACGACTTAATGGGTAATGCAATCGCATTTGCATAAGATAACGAGATAAATCGGGCGCGACTAAAACTCGCAGCCAAGCGACCTTCCGTCTCTATTCCGCTACATTCGATTTTAACGTTTTCTCTTCGGCTCAGTACTTAACGAAGTCCACTGCCATCCCTCATCTCATCGATAAACGATCCTCCCTCAGGTGTACCAGCAACAACGATCTCGAATGCACACGACGGGCGCTGTCCTATAGCATCCTGCCGCCCATAATATCCGCGCGTCTCACCACGAAGAACAGCTTCGCCTTCCGTTACGGGAAGATCGAAGTACGCGCCAAGTTTCCGCATGGCGACTGGTTGTATCCAGGTAACACCGTGCAATTTATCGTTCACTGCGAACAAGACGGGAAGATAATTGAACGGTGGCAAATCTGTCCTCTCGTGTAATTCCCTTCAGAAATGTGGCTCGAGCCGAAATACTCGACGTATGGACAGCACTACATGAGCGGCCGCGTTCTTCTGGGCCAGACGCGCGGTAACGATTACCTGGTTGACGCCTCGGACCCCTCGATGATTTACGACAACAGGAGATTAGATTTCGGCGTGAGAGTGGGCGCGTCACCGCACATCCAGGAAAAACTCGTCTCGAAGATAAACGCATTCGGGCCGCGGTGGTCGCAGGATTTTCACGTCTTCACGACTCTATGGGGTAACAACGGATTTACATTTTCCGTAGACGGCGAGAAAGTTGGATACGTGAGACCCGGTCCGATGGGCTGGGTGCCGGGTGCTTATCAAGGCAAGAATACTGCCCCGTTCGATCAAGAGGTAAACGTCGATAAACGTAATAATAACGTATTAACCAGTATCTGTGATATTAATGAATAATAATTAATTGCAGATACTAGAGAGAATATTACATAATATGAAGCTTTTGTTGTGCTTTTTTACACTTGTCAATATTAGACAATGAAGAGTCAAATATATTAGATGTAGTGTAGTAATAAATCAAAAATGATTATCTCAACTCATGTTTAATATTGAGTATAATCTGAGTTGGTAATTTAATTTTTAACTAAGTTAAATTAAAAGTTAAAAGCCTATAAAATTAAACTTAGGTAAATTAGGAATTAATTAATTATGCAAAACTATATATATACATATATATATATATGTATATGCTTTTGCATAAATAACTTTTTAATCGTAGATTAAATTTATGTTAAACGAAAAATAATAGTCAACAAAAACTAAACAAAATAGTCAGTATTTCTTTATAATAGACTACATTTTGTTCAAAGTTCCACACGAGAAAAGAATACTAGCGCTCAAGAGACAAAAAATTCTACTGGCACTATTTTTAATTTTTCTTGTCTTATATAAGGCCACAATGATTTTGACATATTGATGAATTATTTTAACTTACATTAAAAAAAAAAAGTAAATAAGTCGAAATTAATGCATTTTAAATTAACTAAGCTAAGTTAAAAGCCATTAACTTTTTAACATAACTTTTAACTAAGCAATTAGTTATTAACCAACCCCGAGTATTCATTCAAACCATATTCAATCCAAACGCTTCGGTCACATATGTCTGCTGCGCTTTGGCTTCTCATGGCCTAATACTGACAAGATTACATTTTAACAGAGCCTTATTTAATCTATGAACCTATTGTTCTACTTTCGTTGTTCGTCAACGAATTTCTCGTGGTCACCGATTACGTGACATCGACATTTAACCGCTACTCATACGATCGCGAATAAAAGATACAAAGGCCGCTTAACTCGTGACTTTCAAATCCGATCCGGGAAAAAATGATATCGCAAGCGAGATGAATTCTTCCCTGCTTCGATTGAACATTTACTTTGTTCGTTGAACAGTTCTACATCACTCTCGGCGTCGGGACGGGCGGGGTGCGCGTATTCCCGGATGGTACGAAGAGTGAAGAGCGCCCAAAACCATGGAGCAACATGGATCCTAAGGTAACAGATGCTTCCGTGTACTCGGATCTTCGCCTCTTAACGTACAGATATTTTCCCCAAACGAGTCCCCTCTCTTTTAAAATCTACCTGTATGAAATAATTCATCTTCGATTACAGTCAATGCTGCGGTTTTGGAACGCCCGGGAGCAATGGCTGCCGAGTTGGAGGCGGAACAACGGCGAGAAGACCACCTTCGTGATCGACTACATTCGAGTATGGTCCTTCTGAATCTGCGTCGATCACTCTCCGCCTCCTCTTTCTTTCCTGTCCTTTATATTATCCGTAACAATATATATCGGATCCTTTCGTATGACGATTACGGCGCACGCTACGCAACCGATTCGATACCGCCGCCGTCAACACAACGAGACAAGGTCTCGAAGAATCGGCCGAGAGCCTCATCGACGATGGCAGAAGATTACAGTGTTGCCTGCAATTTGTTATGGTAGCGGCGAGGTAGCCCCGGCGAGAAGACCGGCATCAAGCACTTCCTCCTTTTTCTTCCTCTTTTTATCAGCGTAACGCAATCACAGAGAGTTTTGTAATTGGACTGCTCGTTTCTATAAAAGGGCGAACGGTGCTCCGCGAAATCGGAAAGAAATTCAGGGTCGCCCGGAGCTGGTTCTACCTTTAATGCTCGTGTCGTTAGCCGTGCCGACGATCATCCTCCGATAATGTTCCTGCCGATCACTCTGACCGAACCGTAAAAGTCTCTTAAACAACGCGCGCGACGTTTTACGAAGGACGTGCGCTCTTCACGCGCTTTCGCGCGGCTCCAGATCGCACCTCGGTAAATTTCCTCGAGTCAAGCGATCGCCGACCGATCGTTAACAATGTCGCGACATGTAACCTTAATTTCTATTGACAACATATATATATATATATATATATATATATATATATATATATATATATATTCTCTCATACTAAATAGAAGAGGCAAAGTAAACTGCCACTTCAAGTTAAACGCCGAACTTCTGGCGGACATTACAAACTAAACTTAATCGTCACTAATAATATACAGAGTGTATTTGAACTCTACCGGCAAACTTACAGGGCAGATTCTACGTTGAAAAATAAGTCCGAGGTTTTTCACTCATTTTTTTTTTATATAGAATCTGTCCTGTGAGTCGGTCGACGGAGTTCAGACGCTCTGTATAAATCGCACATTTCGGTCCTTCCTTGGAACTTCATCGTTAAATTGTGAAATATGAAGTTATAGTTGCGACCTGCGGCACAGTTTAATATTGCGTCGTTTCAAGCAGTGCATGGTTTGTAACAGCACAATTACTTCCGCACATTTCCATCCAATATTGTCGCTCCACAAGGATTTTCAACAATTTCAGGTTTTGGAGCTGTGCTGTGCTGCGTAAATTACATTCTTTTATCGCCCTGCATAATCCAATAACTGTGTACAAAGTTGTTAACATTATAGTCTGGACTATAGACTGATAAATGCAGTATGATATGTACTATTACTCCGTTTATCGATCAACGTTTTGTAGTTTTCACGCGCACTGACTGCTGCGCTTTTATTTTACATTTTGACTTTATAATTCGCTGAAAAGAGAGTACAATAACGTAAAAGAGAGAGATAGTTCAAAAGAAGGACCGAAACGTGTGACTTATATAATTAGCGACGATTCAGTTTAGTCTATAGTTACAACGATCGCCTGAAGTTCGGCGTTTGACTCTGGATTGCCTGCTTGTTTACTTTATTTCTGCCATTTAGTGATTGCATATCAAGAAGGTCTTGTATATTATTGTATCGTCACTCTCTCACATTGTGTGTTATCCCCTTAAACGTGACTCTCGCAGTCTCGCACCGAGAGACGACGTTACGGTACACTTTTTTTAATACTTTTTTACACTATGACGGTGATAATAAAAGAAAGAATAAAAGAAGCGCAGCGTAGTTACTATCTCGGATTTGCCACACCATTTCTACTCCATGGAGCCGGAGGCTCGCATACCTCGCGGCTAAGAATGCCGTATTAGATTTGATAGATTGCGGGTAGCCGGGCCGCCAAGGACATACATTGTGTCGTGATCGCTCTCGTCACGGTTTTACTCGGATGCTCCGTTCTCTTTGCGATCGCGGAGAGAACGATTGTTCCGGAGTGCTCGATCGAGAAATCCGAGCTCGGCGGCGGCGACGACTCGGCGCGAATCTCGTCCGGCGCGCGAAAATCTTCTAAACAACCGCGCGAGCGCGAGGAAACCGGACGGAGAAAAAATGATTAAAGCGTAACGACGGCTCCTACTTTCGACCTGGCCCATCCTTCAAACCGGTTTACCTCGGTTTCCAACATTGGAAATAAGAAAAAAAGGAGTCTACGTGCAGTTTCTTCCGTCTGCTTCGCGGTATCACGCGCTTAACGCCGGGGCCGCAGCCAATTAACGCGCTCGCCGCAAAAGTTTATCCGGAGGACTCTCCCCCCCCCCCTCCACGGGTTATCTCCGTGTTTTCTTTTTATTTTCTTTTTGCATAATTTCGTAGAACAGACTTATGAACAGACTTGTGATTTATATTTACGCGGATACATAGGGAAAAATTATCGTCGCACACACGTGATGTTAACGTAACGCGAGCGCGCTAAGTAAAATTCGAACATTTTCAACGAGGGGAAACGGTGTGATATCGAACGGCCAATGATATCGAAAAACGGTTCCGTTGTTTGGCTATTTCTCGGATTTCCTGACACAACTGTGTTACAGCTTCTTCCTGATGAAGAGGAGAACATTTACAATTCTTTAAATCTAAGATTAAGTCTAGCAGTGTTGCAGTTATAAGGTATTTGAGTGCCCGGAGAAAATATCAGAGGCCCCAGAAATGCTCCATCCGACAGTCAATCGGCACATCTGAGGATACTCGTCGTGCAACATGAAATAGCAGACTTAACGTGAAAAATATTTGTGAACTTATAAATAGTTAAAAATCGTCTACACGACATTCTATTCACAATATTTCACTCGATATTTGGATATCGAATACAAGAAAAATATCGAATATTCGATAATATCGAACAACGATAACCATCTTTACTACTTATTACTCTCAATACTTCATTGGTATTTTTTTTAGCGCTATAAGACCCGTTTCTTCGTCCTCACCGGCTCCTTTCTTCTTTCGTTGATTGTATATCTAAGGACTTGGAAGAATTTCTATTTTTCTCGAGGATTCCCAGTAAAGATGAGCTTGAAAGCGAAAGATATCGGCGCGTCACATACAAGTGATGCTAGCAGCGAACGCGTTAATTCAACATCGACGCGCGCGCACGTGCGTTACATTATCGTGGGATACGGGATGCCGAACAAAAATCGCACGACCTCAGGTTCGGCTTCGACGGCTCGTCCGGTTTCGTTTGCTCCCTCTTCCACGCGGCGAGACTTTTTCCTCGCCGTCGACAGTCGGCCGATAGCTCGCGCGGTAGCCACCACGATTTTCTCCCATTGTTCACGGACGAGCCGCCTTCGACGCGCCGCGAATCGCCTCGCCGAATGTTAATTTAGTTTTTACCACTCATCGCTCGACACGGCTCGATAGTCGTCCGTACATTCACGGGATCCGCTTACGGACGATGACACCAGACAAATTCATTGTTGTTTCGATTATTCTCGTTTGGGCCGGTGATTCTTTGGCGGATCATCAGCGTTCAAGGCGATCGAGTAAGTGATATATTTGAAACGTCAGCTTCAGAGTCGTCCTATGTTGGAAATTGTGAAATAGTGACACTCGCAAGTCGTAAATGATTACAAAATTGCCAGACTATGCAGGCGCGCACAAATACGAAAGTCTGAGACGTGTTCAGTTGATAGAAAAGTCTTTCTTTCGGTTATGTGTATTATATATATATATATATATNGTTGAGAAATCAGTTTAAATAGGACAAGAGCCAGTAAGAGTCTACGCGCAGGTGATTTAGCGCAATGGAAACAAAATAATTATAGTTTCTTTACTTCGTAAAGATATAAAAAATCATTATTCTGCGTTTCTTCGTCCTAATTCAGACGTTTCGGTCCTAATTCAGATCTTCTTTAACAGTAACAATGTTACAACGATAAGCATCAATAATCAATATCATACAAGACCAAGCAAGTCGAACACATTTCGCTCACAAATATAATGTAACAAACTTACGACTTGGCCTTAGACCGGGTCTACATTAGGTGTAGTAAGCCTTCAATCTTTTAAATAATAAAATATCACATAATTCCTGACAAAAGGCCTAATAAAATAACGATTAAATCTTGGGAATTGCGACGTCTGGGTGGCGCTGGAAACGTTTCTCGCTAGAAATTACGTTACAATTTGGTGCTCAGAGCAAAAGGCTGAAAGCTTACTACACTTATTGTAGATCGAACTTTATGTTTGTAAGCGAGATGCATTCGAGCAATCGACCTCGCATGACACTGGTTGTTAATGTTTATTATTGCAACATTACATGTATTACTGAAGATTGTCTGAATCGGGACCGAAACGTCTGAACGAAGAGATACAGAATAATGATTTCACGTCTTCACGAAGTTAGGAAACTATATATACAAAATGTTAGAGATTTGTGTGTTCATGCAATACGAGAATTGAAAAGAAAACGCCCGAAAGACATTTGTGATTGAAATATCCCTTTTAATTAGCTTTACGACATCCTTCGAACGTGTAGCCTGGCTGGTGTGTGTGCACATTCTTTATATGAAACGCCGAGATTTATCATCCGGCGAATGGCACTTTTGACAAGAAAATGTTTAACACATTTATTGCGCGCGTTTGAAGTCTTTACGAAACCTATTACGTCTCATTGTGAGTCTGTTATCACCCACGGCGTATATCAGTTTCCCCATCTTACTAAATGATCAAGAGACATGCAGAGAGAGAAAGAGAGAACCGACTCTCTACGTATACACTTACATAAGAATCGAATAATTAAAAATTGCATATTTATATGAGAATCTTGTTACAGCGAATGAGTATATACTGCGCAAATGCATAGCTACCGCGGAGTTAATCAGGAGGCACAAAAACGAGGGGGTTAACTCACGCAAAGCCGAGGCGAACTTGTCCCAATCGCAGGCGGAACAACGTAGAAATTACGAATCTACGGCAACGATTCTGCCGACTAACGTCTCCCGGATGGAAACTCCCAGGCCGATTTCCAGCAGCGTACACCGACGCACGACTCACATGAGAAGGCGCGGTAACGCGCACGCGCGTCGTATCATGGGCAAACACCTGGCGGACACACCTCTCAGGACTCTGCACATCGACGCGCCGCAGGATAGACCGCCGGCCTTCACAAAGAAGAGTCCGCTACCGGAACTAGCGCGCGACGCGTCCGGCAGAAAGATCGACTCGTCGTCGAATGTGATAATTATTAAATCGGTCACTTAACGTCCTGCAAATGGCGCTCGGTTCTCGCACTGATTTTACTCTACGATGATCAATGATCTGTAATCCTCTCAGTCTCGCACGCGTCGTCATTCGTCCAAGATACAGAACTTTGAGATACTCGGCAATAATTCCTCCGTCACAGCAGTTCGTCGAGCGGTGTCTTTATTCGTATCGCTATTGACATCGAGAGACGAGAGAAATACGGATTGATGGAATCTTCAACGCGATTAACTTGCAAATAAATGAACTATGTACACGATACAAGCTGTACGATATAAAGAATTGCTCACAAGTACTCGCATCACGTTTGAGACATCGCAGCTATACTCTCTGGTAACTTCTCCAACTCAGTCTGCGAAGAAGAACGTTCCACGTGAGCCAAGCGATGAAAAAAAATGGCAAATTATCTTGTGCATGCATTTCTTTTATCTCGTAAAAGTCAGACCTTGGTCACTTTCATCGCCACTCCCTCCGGTAGATTCCTCTGAAGGTACTCCAGAAAAGTATCCGCCGTGGATCCAGTTAACCTCAGGAAGTCGAGATAACGATAGTAAGTTCTGATCTCGTATTGAACACGATGTTTCTTGTGAACATGAGCTGATTTCAGTACCGTCCATCGTTCGTGAATAGCTTTGCGCGGCGCTGTACTGCAAATATAAAAGGATATTTTAGCACATTGTTCGCACTGGTTGCGCGAGATCGACCAACAAATTTACGATAAGACTGAAGAACTAACTTCCTGGCTACGTGGATTTTTAAATGGTTCGCAGCCATCACTGCAAACATCCCGTAACTCTTCAACACAGCTGGTTCATTTCCCCTGACCTCAATCTCAATCTTCTTATACAATTTATCCGGTGTACCCTGGGGACAATTTATTTCTGCATAAACGTATTCAGACAAATCGTTCGTAAGAGGACGGCACATCTTCGAAGGAATTACCGTGTGTGTCGAGAGCGAGGACGATTCTTCCTTAACGGCATCTTGTTGCTGCTCATTTTGTTGTCGCATTGTTGTTGAAAACAGTGACGTATTGCTTTGCAGGAATTTACGTGGGAGAACAGCAGCGTGTCGTGATTCATATTGAACACCGGCTACGATATTTCTGACAAGAAACGTGACCTGTAAGAACGCAAGCATTGGTTAGGTTTAACCTCAATCGACTCGCGCACACTGCCGACGCAATCTAACTGCATCGAAATACCTTTGACGGGAGCATTTGTTGTCGTTATCGATACCTTTGCGAGCCAAACTCCAAATTGTGTTGTCCCAAATTTTACAGACTTATTACTTTTGTAACTTACTTAACGTAAATACATCCGCATTCGCCGCATAGACAATTCAACATGCCGACATAACCGCAGCTAGAATCGTACAACAGCAGTATATAGTGCACTCAATCGTGACGTCACCGCGCGAAATTACGCAACGACAATAAGATATCTGTGATGTGACGATAAACGATTAAATGAACTTTAACTTATAATCGAGTTGATACAATTGATTCCGGTGACATCAAACTAGAATGATCATTATTATTTTATGGCACATAGATAATAAAGCTAGATACTTGCATATGTAATAATATTATACCTGTCTTCTAAATTACAAAATAATACTTGGTCTTCACAAACAGAACCATTCCCGGGAAAAAATGGTCATATATGAATTTTGTCTATACATAATCATATATAATTATATATATACTACATCAAAAAAATACTGTTATACAAATAACTGAAATAAACGTTTACATTTATGGCTGTCCGAGATGTAAATACTCAATCAAAATATTTCTTCTGCTTCTCGCTCAACAGTATTTTCATTTCGTGTAGACATATATAATTATACAGGGTGAATGACGCAACGTGACCAGCTTAGTTTATCCTGCTATTTGTGGACCGCTTGAAAATTTTGTTGTCTAGTATAACACGGTTCAAGGTAAGCTTTAAGATGATCTCGTTGCGTGGTTCGCCTTGTATATGCAACTACATAGAGATAAAATTCATTTATAAATTGTACGATTATACATAATTTGATATAATTATATATAATCTTATTTCCGGGGTTGTTCGATTAACAAAACATTTGTTTTCCTTTAACCAAGATTAATTGAAATGTGCCAATTTGTACTACGGATAGATTTTCACTATAATTTCCTTACATATTTTCTTTTTTTTTATAATTATCTATAGGATATACCATTTCTTATAAATTACGAAGCGCATATTTAGCATATAAATACTCATATTTGTTACAACTGTATTTGCAAATATATTTGTTTATTTTTTGAATCATGAGATATCTCGAATATAAAATTCGTGGCTTACAGGTACTAGTATTGCATACCTCCAATTATATATTTGGTTTGTAGTGACGAATTAAAAAAAAAGAAATATATAAATTGGTGTCATTATCGATATAATTTATCGAGATCCATATATATGAAATGTATAAGAAATGTTTGCCAAAATTGACTGATTCGTCTATGTGGTATGATTAGCATATTGAGTGCTACCACATTACATATATTTGAATGGCGTGTAAGTGTTTGCGCAAACACCTTGTCACTTCTTCTCGTGTGATAATCTTACTTACCCGATGAGGAATGATCTCTTACGAAGTAAATTTCGTCTAATCGTAACTCGTGCGGTTAGCAATGTGTTAAGTAATCTGACTTTGCATGTGACCGCTCGTAGTGGCCGGAAAATTCGATTCGACGTTACCACACTCGAATCAATGTGACAATTAACGCGTCGAATTGTACCATTGAGCCACTTAGTGTTAGATATATATGTATAATTGTGTATCATATACAAATTATATCATTGTGATAAACGTAACAAGCACAAAACAAAATAAAAATAAGAAGTATCGATAATACTACGAAACTTGGAATTACTATTACAGATATTCTAGCGATCCAGTAGATATAATTAAAAGTTTATATTAAACGTACAATCGAATTTTACTCGTCATTCTTATTGTGTGGATTTGTCTAATGACGCGTCTCGTCTAGAGAATCCAAAAAAGAAAAGAAGAACCGACCGGCTTTGCCACACACAACGAAACATCGACGCGGCGGTGGCGCCAAATGATAACGAACTATTAATAATACACATCGTTTTACATCGAGATACATCTTATCTATGACGTCTAACGTCGATCCTTAAACACACTGGTGTTGAAAGGCCGTTGTGACTGAAAGTTGTAGCCTGACGATTGCTGCCACGTGCCAGAATTGCCGCCTCCCTGCCAATTGGTCGACGGTGCTTTCTTATTCAAATCATTTGGCGCTAACCAGCGCGAGTCGTTCGGATTGCCGCTGCCTTGGCACGGCGGCTTCGACGAGAAAGCTTGAGACTTGTTCTGCCAACTGTCTTTGGGCTTTGACCACGAGTCTCCCTTGTCCGTATCCCTGGACCAGTTGGACGGTAGGACGACCTGATTATCGACGTTCATCCATCTGTCCTTGAGCTCAAGATTACCATCGTCGCCCCAGGGATCTCGGGCGTCCTCCGGCAGGTCGTGCCAATCCTCCTTGTCTCCCTGATTCCAGGAGTCATTAGACTGCGGCTGTTCCCAGCGCGGCACGTCCGAGTCCATCCAAGCTTCCTCGCGGCCGCCGGCCATGCTATCCTTCCCACGGTTATTCCAATTGTCGTTGTTGTTCCCCGACCTGGCCGGGCCGGACCACCTGTTATTGTCCGAATTCTGATTCCACGGCTCTTTCACGCCGGGTTTCACGAACGGCTGCTTGGAGCCCCACGAGCTGCCGTGAGACGCGGAATCTCGGTTGTTCCACGATCTGTCTTGCTGGTTCTGCGACTTGCGGTATCTATCATTGTTATCGGAGAGAGGCTGCCACTGGTTGCCGCTGGTCGTCGGCTGCCTCTCGTTACGCCACACGTTCTCCGACGGCCTCTCGTTAACGGGGCGTTGCCAAGTGTTGCCTTGCTCGACCGCGCCTAAGTTCGGAATGTCCCACTCGTCCGTGAATCGGTTCTGCGGCGGGCTCTGCCGCCTCGTGGGCGACGGGAACTCGTGTCCGGGCGGCATTCGATGCGGCGAGGGGCGTCTCATGGGCGACTGATGCCTCGGCGGCATGACGCCTCTCGATCTCGACGGAGACATCATTCTGCCGACGGGCGACATGGCTCGCCTCTGCGGAGACATCTGCCTCACGGGCGACATCGGCCTGTGTCTCATCGGAGACACGGGTCTCCTCATGGGCGACATCTGTCTCGTCGAGGAGCCGTACATCCTCATCGGAGACATCTGCCGTCTCGGCGGGGACAGGCTCAAGGGTCGCCATGACGGCGACATCTGCTGCACCGGAGACATCGGTCGCCTTGGCGGTGACATCGGCCGCCTCGACGGGGACATCGCTCGATTAGACGGCGAGAAGGAACGTCTCGGCGACATGTCGCGTCTGCCGGCCGATGACGCAGGCATCAACGGCACGGGCCGCCTCTGAGGTGAGAATTCACGGTGCATGTGCGAATTACGTCCCTGATACGGAGACTGCGAGGGCGACGACACCGGCCTGTCCGAAGAGAGGCGTCTCCTGGGCGGCGAGGCCGGACGCCTCGGCGGTGACTGCAACGAGCGCTTCGGCGACGATCTCCTCGGCGGGGATCCTCGGTGTCTGAACGGCGAATTCTGCTTTCTTATCGGGGAGTTGGGCTTCCTCGCATTGCCACCTCCCGCATTGCCCCAGCGGTTTTTCTGGAAACCCTTGTTGTTGTTGTTCCTGTTCCACGAGTTGCCCTGGTTCTGCTGTCTGTTTCTGTTGTAGAGCGGTCTCTCATAGAACTTCGTCTTACCGTCCTCGTTTCTCAACGACACCGGCAATATGTCCGGCTCCAGCGGCGGTAAGTTGTGATACTTCCTGTAAGGTAACGCCGGCTTCACGTCGTTGTCGGTATCCAAGTATTCCTTGTTCGCGGTCGTAATGACGATGTCCTGAGCGTGAGTCTCCTGCACGAATCGGCCTTTCAGCAGCGGATCGTCATCGAGCTCCTTCTTCACCTGACCCGCACTCTGCGAGGTCTCAGGTGGCGCGATGCGATCCCACACCGAGCGCGGCAGCTGATTCTGAAGCTTGTTGGTCTGCTCGAGCACCAGACTCAAGACATTTTGCAATTCCTTCGCGGTGGTCGCGTCAACCGTGGGAGACGGACCGCTCAGCTTCTCTTTCGCCGCCTCGAGAATCTCCCGGCTCTCGTTTACCTTCTGCACTAAGTCCGTGTCGATTCTGTTGCTCGACAATTTCGCGCGCAGGTCGACCTGATCTTTGTCTTTCGACTTTTTGTCGTACAAAGGATTGACACGGAGCGTAGATTTATTGTGGGGCCAATTCTTTTTCTTAGCTGTAGCATCTGGTCACAATGAAAAAAATCAGAAATTAGACACGCGTATTATACACACAGCAGTGTGCGACATATCTCTGTAAGGAGTTTACTTTTAAATTTACATCCGCTAAACTTACCCTGCTGCTTCCACGATTTGTTATATCCGGGCTTATCGTACTTCTTCGTCATCTTTTTCGGTATCTCTATTATCTCGGGCGATTCGTTCTCTCGCTTTAGTCTCATTTTGCTCTTAGTCGGCGAGCTCGAGCCGCTTTTCGCGGGGCTCGTCTTTTTCGTGGGCGTAGTTTTCGACTTTTTCGCGGCCCCGACGCTCGCCAACGGATTCTTTCTCAGCTGCGTGTCGACGCTATCGAGGCTGCTGCTATTGATCTCTTTCTCTAACGCCCTGGTGTTCTCCAAGGATTTGCTCTCTTCCTCCAGTATCTTGAGGAACCACGGCTGCGTGAGTCTATGCATGAGTCTGTGCTCCATCAGGATCACCGCCTCGAAGTGAGGCCCGATCGGCAGGGTATCGACCACGCACGCCCGGGTCGGCATGAACGGATGACCGAGGCCATCTTCGATGGGCCGTGCGAGTTCTAACACCGCACGGACCGACTGTTTTGTCAACGTGGTGACCATTACGATACGCCGCAGGGACGTGAGTTTTCTTAAGCATGTCATTACTTCAACGGCTAAAAGATATCATAGACTTTAGACTTTGAGCTGAGACGTTCCGACCGGACGAGAGACACCGGGTCTCGCAACCGGGGGG